CTGTGCGTGCCACAGCAGAGCCCCCGCCGCTGCAGACAGCCTCGACCCCTCCTCACTGCCCTCCCACAGGAATGCATGACTTGGGATGGAGAATGTGTCATCCAAGAAACATTCCATGTTTTCCTTGGTGCATGCTCTGGGAACGTGGCGAGAACGGCTGTCCACACTGCCGTCCACATACTTGGGCAGCTGCCGGAGGGCTGGGCTGCCCAGGCCAGCTATGTCCTTAGTCTAGAGGAGCCTGGCCCCTGGGAAGCCACCACCTACTGCCACTACCTGGCTGGGAAATCAGGTGGGAATATTCTAGGGCTGGGATCTTGGGGGCTGGTGGCAGGGCTATTAGCTTTCAGAGAACAGAGCTCAATTGCCCCCCATCCAGACCCAGGCCCTGCAGGTCAAACACTCTCTTTGAGTCTGGGAGACAGAGACATGGATGCCAGCTACCACACAGGCCACACTCGTGAGACATGGGGCAGGCCACACCTCTCCCTGAGCCTCTGTCTTACACTCTGTACAATGGGCTACCCCAAGGCCTTCTCAACTCTGAGGGACCTGCAATTAGAAACCTTGTGTCTTGACCTGGGCAGCTCACACCAACAGGATAGAAGCAGGCTCACTAGAACCCCCACCCCATACCCCACAATGGCAGGGACCCATCAGCCTTGGTTCCTGCTGATGCTTTGTCACCCAAAGAGTCTCTCCTTCCACTGCTTCGAACACAGGAGCCAGCCACAGGGCCCTTCCTAGAAAGCTCCCCCTGATCACTCACCCAGCTTCTCCTTCCTCTAGGGTCCTCTGGTCTCCCCTGTCCCTACCCTTGTGCCACGGGTGACCAAGCAAGGTTGGGGGCAGTGGGGGCTGTGTCTGTATTCCTCCCTCTCCAGTGGGGAACCCCCCAGCACTCAGGTAGCTCTGAAATGTTGCTGGGATAGGCGCACTTCCCTGGGGCCCCGGTGGGAGGGGGGGCAGGAGAGAGAGTGTCGTGGCCCCACAGTGACACAGTGCCGCAGCGGCCAGCCTTCCCTCCCGTGCCCCCGCCTCCCTTCAGAAAGGCCTCACACGGAGACAGCAGGTCTGGGTGTCGCTGGGCCCAGGCAGGAGGTTGGCTGACACCAAGCACCCGCGTGCCAGCCAGTCCTGAACATGCCGGAGATGGAGCCCGCTGAGGGGCTGTATCTGGACCCTCGCCCCCGGCCCTAGGCCTGCTGCTTGCCCTGCAGGAGTGTATAGCAGCACTTTAGCGCCTTGTTTTTGATTTGGACTTGGTGGACAGAGCTTACGGATTTACGTGTTTCCTTAAATATTTCTGGGCTGGAGCCTGGGGCAGGAGCTTCAGGGTAAGGAGTCAGGCACCACTTGCCCCCTGTCTGCAGGCCAAACTTGCACCCTGGAAGAGCTGGGGGTGTCCTCACAGGCTCACGGGGCACCCAGGCTCAAAGGGTGGCAGAGCCCAAGTAGCTTCTTTCACAGACAAGGAAACTGAGGTCCACGGAGGAGAGGAGCTTTCCCAGGACTGCATGGCACAGGGCACAGAGCCCAGATGGGACCCCATGGTGCCTACCCAGGGCCTTTGACTGAGCGGCTTCTGAGGTGGCAGCTCCAAGGTGGCCTGTCTCCTGGGGGTCAGAGACCCTAGTTGAAATGGGCCTCTCCATGTAAACTGGGCCTGCCCCTCCCTCTGGGCCACAGGCCCCTGCCGTGGGGACACAGGTGGGTGTCTCCGTGAGGCACGTTGAGGCTACACCCTCTGACTGATATTCTAATTTGGGAGACTCTGGGACTGCAAAGCTACCAGAGAGTGACCTTGCAGGGCCTAGCGTGCCAGCTCCCAGGCTCAGGGTCTCAGCTGGGACCCCGGAGCTAAGAACTGGGCCAAACTGGGCACGGCCTCAGCCAGTCCTCAAGTCCCTTGGCCTTCCAGGCCCATCCTCTGCCCGCCCCTGCCCAGTCAGCGTTTGCCTTGGCCTGACTCTCGCCCAGCCCTGTGGAGACCCAAGCTCCTGGATTTGGTCACATCCGGCCCAGCCGTCTGAACAGGCCTTAGGCCCTAAAGCTTTCTGGGCCCAAGGGGAGCCCAAAATAACATCTGAGTCAGCATCCCTACAGACACCCCCACCCGCCCGGGCCCACAGGGAGAGGCCTAGAGGCAGCCCAGACAGGGGACGGGGCCAGGTCAGACAGCCACCTGCTCCAGCAAGGCCCCGCCGGCGATGGGCCCAGCCCAGCGGGCAGCAAGACTAGTAGGGTTCAAGATCGGGAGGCTGGGGCAGTGGGAAATGGGGGCCCTGCCCCAGGGGGTTCTGAGGGAGATAGGTGTCTGCGGATGCTGGCGGTGCCATGTGGTCAGTGTCATAGCAGAGAGGGCAGCGGGGGGGGGGGGGGGGGCTAGGGGAGCGGGAGGAAACCAGAATTCTAGCCCGGGATCAGAGAACACCCTGGAAGCAAGGAAGTCTGGAATGACGTGTTGGAACTGGACAGGACAGCGACAGAGGAGACACACTCCAGACGACGGGGAGGAAAATGAGCAGGGCCCAGGGTGCTGGGCCTCAGGACAAGCTGGGTGCCTCCACCTCTCTGCGGACAGGGACAGACACAGAGGGCGAGAACAGCTCCCACTCCAGCCCCTGACGGCCATCTGCCCCTCACACCGTACTCGGGGCTCAGCCTAGGAACAGGGGCCAGAGCTAGGCCAACGTCACCCCGAGGTTCAGTCTGGGGAGGGGTCAGAGCTGGGCCTATGCTGGGGGGAGCCGGTGCTCCAGGCTGTGAGACCTAGGCCTATCTGGAGGAGGGGGCAGAAGCATCTGGCCTCAAACCCTCCCTAAAGGTGGTCCCCTAATCCACCTGGCCCCTGCGGTGCTGTGTTCCCACACCCCTGGGTGGGATGCTATGTCAGTCCCTTTGTTTCACAGCCCTGGGCTGCTGTGAGGTCATCCTGTCCCTCATCTCCAGTCAGGGACAGGAGGCAGATACCTGAGTACCCTCAGGCCTGAGGCTAAATCCCCCGGCTTTCCTGAGAACGGCTCTGCTGTTCTTGGCCAACAGCCTCCACTGAGCCTGGCACGCCCCGGCTTGGCCCTCACCAGCGAAGTGAGGACTTGGCGGGGGCCCAGCCAGGGCGGTGGACACAGTGAAAGCACAGAGCATGGGGCCCAAGCGGGCAGCAGGGCCCCAGCACGGCTCAGGTCAGTGGCTCAGCAGAAGGGTTGGGGCTCACCTACTGGGTTCCTCTAGTCCAGAGGAGACTCAGCAGCCTACTCCCAGCTGGCCTGGTCCAGAAAACACTCAGACCCTGCTCCTGCACGCCCCTGAAACAAATCAGGGCTTTCCCAGAGGAGAAAAACCAGGAGATTAAGAGCAAAACCCTGGTCCTCCCTCCCCCGCTCCCCCCAGAGTGGGCTCTGATTGTGTCTTTACCGTGTCCCCAGCTCAGTGCCAAGCTCTGGGTAGGGCCGCAGACGTAAGTTTTCTAAGGAGCCCTGAGCTCAGGCTGCACACCTCCTCCCCTCCCCAGTTTCTTGGTATAGCCCCGAGCCAGTGCCCTTAGTGGGGCGACAGGGAGGGCTGGAGCTGACATTTGCCCAGCAGCTCCCCAATGCCTGACATGTGCAGTGTGCTCGGCCCCTCCCCACACCCCTCTCTCATAAAGGGGAAGCTGAGGCTCAGGGAGGGTAGCTTGCCCAAGGTCAAATAGCTCAAAATAGAACAGGAGGAACTCAAACCTGAGTTATGTGAGCCCAGAACCTTGGCTTTTATTCAATACTGTGCTGGTGGCAGGTGGGAGAAAAAGAGATTCTACACGTGCTTGTATCTGCGTGTATTGCCCATGTCTGCATTTGCATGTGTCTGTGCATGTGTCCTTATGTGAGCGTATGTCTGTGTGTCCATGTACATGCCTCTGTGTGTGTGCACGCCTGGGAGGGGCAGAGAGCCCCAAGGCCAGCTCAGAGGGAAGAAGGCCGGACGGTGCCCAGGCAGCCCCTGAGCAGGCCCGTTTGAGAAGTCTCAGAGCCCCTGGTCCACGGGGTCTTCTTTGCAGGCCTCATTTGTAACCTCCTTTCCGAAAAGTTATTTGGAGAGAAGCATTTCAACGATGGAACCCCAGTGACCCACCAATTTCCAGTTTTTTAAAAAATTGTATAATAATCTCACCCCAGGGACTGGGGGGTGGAGGTGGAGGAGTGAGCAATAGCCAGCTCAGCAGATGGCAAATGACCACGACAAGAGACCCATGGTTCATTCATTGTTCAATATGCATTGAGTACTGGCACGAAGGAAGCCATGCAGACCTAGGCATGGACCGGACTAGGTCCCATTCACCACCGCGCCTCTGTGCCCAGCACTGAAATATGCTATGACTGAAACTAATGGGTGCTCAGTCAACGCTTGTTGAATAAACGAATAAGTGTCTCTGCTGAATAGATAATGCTGAGCCTCTAAGCCAGCTCAATTAATAGCTGAGTGAGCCCTTGAATGAGTCCTTTAAAATCACCAATTCAAAGGAATAAATGCACCCCTATGTTCATAGCAGTGCTATTTACAATAGCCAAGATTTGGAAACAGTCTAAGTGCCCATCAGTAGATGAGTGGATCGAAAAACTGTGGTACATCTACACAATGGAATGCTACACAGCAGTAAAAGGGAAGGAATGCTTGCCTTTCGTGGCAGCATGGATGGAACTGGAGAGCATTATACTCAGTGAAATAAGCCAGGCAGTGACAGACAAATACCATATGATCTCACTGATGCCTGGAAACTAAGGAACAAAATAAACTAATGAGCAAAATAGAATCAGAGGCATGGAATCCCAGAACAGACTGACAGCAGTAAAGGGGGAGGAAAGGGCGGGACTGGCTGAAAGAAGGCGGAGGGACTAGTGGAAGGACAGGCATACGTGCGTGACCGTGGACATGGACAATGGTGCGGGAACTGACTGTGGGGAGGGCGGTGGTGGGACGGTATCAGAGGGGGAAAATTAGAACAACTGTAACAGCATAAACAATTTTTAAAAATCTACTTTGGATTAATTTTAATGAGGGGCTTAGACTAGATCAGAGGCATTAAGGGCACAACATGCAGGGCAGCTACGCCAGCTCTTGCTCCCAGGCCAGCATCACCAAGCACCTGCCGTGCCTGGATATCCTCAGAGCCCTTTCTGACGCCCCTTCAGGCAGCCGTTGCTGGTCAGACGTGGTTGGTGACGGAACCTGTCTTCTATCCTGGGAAGGGGCGAGATCCTCCAGTCCGTAAATCTATGAACAAGGGGAGAGAAGCGAGGGGTGGGGAAGGATCAGGTGAGGTTCCTTGGAGGTTTCTTGTCCCAGTCTTAGGACCCTCTGAGTTGTGCGAGTGGGTGAGAAGGTCCGGCGGAAGTGGGCAAGAAGTGTAGGTGTGGAGGGGCTGGGTGGGTGGGCTGAGGCCTGGCTCTGCTGAGATTTAAAATGCTCCTGTGTCAAAGTAGGTCAGGAACTTAAACGTGAAAGGGAAGCTTTCTACAGAGCTTCTAGAAGCACGTCTGTATGGCCAGTTAGAGGTGAAGGTGTCTTCAACAGCACAGAAGAGACACTACCCAGAGAAAAGATGGATAAGTTTGACTTTATTAAAATCAAGGACTTCCATTCACCAAAAGATAACACTTTTTAAAAAGGCAAAGCATGGAGCAAGAGGTCTTTCTAACACATTAACCAACCACAGCATTGTGTCAGCACATATAAAGGACTACTACAAAACAACAGGAAAGTGCCAAACAACCAAATTTTCAACAATGGACATCAGGCTTGAATAGACACTCCACGGAGATGTCCAAATGCCCAGGAGGCATGGGAGAACATGCTCACCATCACTAGCCATCGGGGAAATGAAAGTCAAAACAAAACGATAAACCTCTAGATGCCCACCAGAATGGCTAAACGTTAAAGACTGACTATTCTGTCAACAGGACTCGGAGCAACTGGAACTCTCCCCCGCTGCCGGCAGGAACGTAAGACGGTGCAACCACTTAGAAAGTGGCCTGAAAGTTCCTCAAGAGGCTAAACACACACTTAACATAAAACCCAGCAGTTCCACTTCTGCCTCTATACCCATGAGAAATGAGAACATGTGTCCATAAAAAGAAGGAAGTATTCCTGGCAGCATTATTCACAATAACAAAAAAAAGGAAACAACTTAAATGTACATTAACACTAGAAAGGGTAAATAACATGTGGTATATTTCTAAGATGGAATATTACACAGCAATGAAAAAGAATGGCCTACTACCTGAATAAATTTCTTAGGCACAATATGAGCAAAAGAAACCAGACACAGAAGAGTACATACACTGGGATTCCATTTATACGGAGTTTGTATTAGTTTCCTGGTGCTGTCATAACAAATTATCACAAACAAAAGAACTTTATTCTCTCATAGTTCTTGAAGCCAGAGTCCAAAACCAAGGCGTTGGAAAGGCTATGCTCCTTCTGAAGGCTCTGCAGAAGAACCCTTCCCTGCTTCTGTCTAGCTTTTGGTGGCTAATGGCCATTGCTGGTCTCCCTTGGCTTATAGGTGATTCACTCCAATCTCTGCCTTGATCTTCACATGGCCACCTTCTCCCTGTGTGTCTCTGTGTCCCGGTTCTTCACATGGTCTCCTTATGGTGCGTCACATAGGATTTAGGACCCAGTGTAATCCAATATGACCTCATCTTAATTGGATTGTATCTTCAAAGACCCTATTTCCAAATAAGGCCACATTCATAGGTACTAGGGGTTAGGACCTGAACATATATTTTAGAAGACACAATTTGACCCGTGACAGAGTTGAAGAACAAGTAAAACTAATCTGCGGTGAGAAACGGCAGGTGAGCGATGTGCTCTCTCGGGTACTGACTGGGAAGGGGCACAGAGGGGCCTGCCAGGCTGGGGACGTCCTGTGTTGCTGTGAGTATGGCGATACAGGTACACAGACCTGTGAAAGTGCACGTCTAAGCTTTGTGCACTTTACTCCGTGTGTGTTATTCTTACTTTAAAACACTCTTGTGGAGTTGAGTTAGGTGTTGGGTAAGCAGGCATCGTTGTGCAAGTCGATATGACAGCACACACACAGCACACACCCACAGACAGACCGACACATACGCAGACCCACCTGCCCTCCCTGACGCCCCCCATGCAGGCCTCGGTCCCTCCTCTGCGGTCAGCAGAGGATCCAGGCTGCCCTGGTGATTTCGAGCATGGAGCATGAGGCAGAGGAAGGATGAGCCTCAGCTGGAGCTGAAAGCCATGCCTGGAAACACGGAGACCACCCCACTGATCGCACTTCCTCCTCTGGGTCCTGGAATGAGAGAGTTCAGGCAGCTGGGTCTGCTTAGGATAAACAACTTCAGGCAAACCCGGGGGCTGGAGAGTCTCAGGCCCTGCAGGATCAGACCTCCGAGAGACAGAGAAAGATGCCAGCAGGAGCACAGAGAGACTGCTTGCAGAAAAAGCTTCACACACAGAGACAGAGACACACAGAGAGACAGAGAGACAGAGACAGAGACAGAGACAGAGACAGAGACTCAGAGCAAGAGAGGTGGAGAGAAGGGGACAGAGTAGGGGACATTCATCCATTCACCTTTTTCCTACCGCCCAGGTGTGTGTTCTGGGCCAGACCATGGGGGTGCTGGGGACACAGAGGGCCTGAAACACAGCACCAGCCCCCAAGGAGCGCCTGAAATTGGAAGCAGACAGTCCAGCTATCCAGAGGGAGGGGGCCGGGCATAGGGCAGATCTGCCTCCTCTTTCAAAGGAGTTTGTGTCTCATTCGCCTCCCTCCAAGCACCCTCGAGAATCTGGAGATTGGACAGAGCCCAGAGAGCAGAAGTGATGGGCCATCCCACGGTGTCCGGACCACAGACTCAGCAGGAGGGGGAAACGTGGGCAAGAGTCTTTATTGTTGCTTCTGTGGCAAGGAACCGGCAAGGCAGGGTAAGCAGATTTGGGATTGGCTAGTTTGAATAACTTCAAACCCAGCATGATCTTAGGCATAGGGGCTGTCCCTGGCTGCCTGATACCTGGCCGTGGGGTGAGTAGTGCAAGTGGTGGTGGCGGGGGAGGGCCCGAGTGTGAAAGCCATCAGGGAGGTGGCTTGGGTGTGGACCCTGGCATGCTCCGGGCAGGCTGTTTGCTTTCTCTAGGAGTTTGTTAGCCCCGGGAGGGGCTGTCCCTCCAGAGTCAGCAAGGCTCCAAGATGTCAAGTCATCAAAAATACAGAATAAAAGGATATGATTAATACAGGGGAATGAGAGCACCTCCGCATTTGTTTGGGAACTAAACCAGCTATTTTCATGGAAGCCCCCAACATGGTGAGTGGGTGGCAGGAGCACCACACAGACTGGAGTCCGAAGCCCCATCTCACCGCCTCTGAGCAGCCTTCCCAGACTGGCCCTGCCTGGTGTCTCCGCTGCAGGCCACCCCTGGTGAGCACTGTCAGGGTTTTTCTCCTGCGCCAGTGAACTCCCACACACACATTGCTGGGGAACACCAGGGATCTCACCAGTTTGGGCTGATGGGGAAAGAGTGGGCAGCTCAGTGCGAACCAAAGAATATTCTGAAGGAAATAGATGAGAACAGCCATACACCTGCTTAGATACTCAGACCACCTGGGAACACAATGTGGCCAGAAAAGACCCCCTCAGAGAAGTCAGCACAGGGGCGGGTCTTCTTTGCATCTTGTTTCAGGAAGCGCACACACCTCCCCACATGCGCCCCTCAAGAACCAGAACTAGAGGGTCTGCTCTCAGGAGGAGGGCAGTGACATGCTGACGGTCAGGAAAGGAGCCACAGAATCTGGAGGGCTTGGTTCCAGAATGCCCCCTCTCTCAGGACCCCACAGGCCCCTGTAACGGGCTGGTTTGTGTCCCCCCGCAAATTCATATGACGAGGCTCTAAGCCCCCGTACCTCAGAATGTGGCTATATTTGGAAATAGGGTCTTTAAAGAGGTGTTTGAGTTACAGTAAGGTTCTTAAGTGGGCCCTAAACCAGTATGACTAGTGTCCTAATAAGAAGAGATTAGGACAGTGACACATAGAAGAGAGACCATGTGAGGACACAGGGAGAAGGGGCCATCGGCCAGCCAAGGCGAGAGGCCTCAGGAGAAACCAACCCTGCCGAAGACTTGATCTCAGACTTCCAGCCTCCAGAACCGTGAGACAGTCAGTTCCTGCTAATGGTGGCACCCCAACTGTGGAACTTCGTCATGGCAGCCTGAGAAAAGTGGCGTACTCACCAGAAACCACTGGTGGCTCCGTCTTTTCTCCAAAATCAGAAGCACTGTTTGCCAGGCACAGGTGACCTTCATGCACAGCAGCCTGATGGCCAAGGTTAGGTCAGTGTTCTCATGCTCCAGTGTGCATCAGCATCACCTGGTGGGCTTCTCAGAGCACAGGTCAGTGGTCCCACCCCAGAGTTTCTGAGCCAAAAGATCTGGGGTGGGCCTGAGAATGTGCATTTGTAACATTGATTAGGATGCTCATTAAACTTTGAGAACAGCCTGAGCCCCCTGTGGGATGGTCCCTCGTAGAGAAGGGCCACCTAGCCCAGTGGTTTTCAAACTCTGCTGTGCACAGGGAGCTGCACAAATGCTAACACCAGGGCCCTACCCCAGAGGTTTAGTCTGGGCCACGGCCCGGGCAGTGGAACTGATGCAGCGGAGCCCCAGGGGTTCTGATGCGTGGCCAGGGGCCAGACCCACGGCTCCAGTCTGCAACCCCTGTTCGGAGGCAGCTCCAGGCCCAGAGGATGGGAGAAGCTACCCAGCGTCACGCAGCGGCTGGGGCAGGTCAGGGAGTGGGACCGTAGTCTCCTGAGGACCCCCAGCAGAGCGGTGGTTTTGTGATTTTTTTCAAGCCCCAGAAGCCTGTCTTCAAATGAAATGTCACTCAGAGCCCTAGTATCTCGTATAAACCACACAAAAACCGGGAGCCCTGCCCACCCAGCAGCCCCACCTCTGTCCTGAGGAACATGCCCTGAAACCCCTGATCTCTCCCAGGATGTCCTTTCAGGGGGCTCCGGAGAGTCCGAAGCACTTTGGGGTTAGGAGCAGGCATACCCGCCCCCCAGAACAGCGATGACCAGAACTTGGGTGCCAGCACCCAGCTCTTATCCGCTTGGCAGGAGTACGACCTGCGGCCAACCCAAGACAGGGGTCAGGGGGTTCGTAGCACGTAGCAAAGGAGTCTCCCTCCCCCTAATTCATTTGTTCGCCTGTACACTGACCCGGCCACCCTGTGGTGCTCACTGTTGAGCGGCCTCCTTTCCACGAGCAGGGCAGCAGCCTGATGGAAAAGGCAAAAACAACCTGGAAACAGTCACCGCAACAGTGTCTCTCAGACTTTCTGGCCATGCCATGCAGAAAAAAAGATTCATCACAATCCAGTGCTCATATGCAAATACATGTAACTCAGACAAAAGGTTCAAGATACAGGCTGATTTGGTCACCTGTATTACATGTGCATTTATTTTATTCTATTCCCGCATTTTTAAATGCTGTTCTTTACCCACTAAATCAATGGCACACCCCACCAATAGGTCACATCCTGTAATTTGAAAACTACTGGAGGCATGGGAAAGGCTGAGCAGGAAAGGCCAACATCTTCCCCGAGTCAGTGACTGGCGGGCTCAGAGCCGGTGGGGACAGCTGGGATCTGTGCTTTTGGGAGCTTGGAGAGGAGCAGGCAGCCTGTGGGTGGTCTGATGGGCAAGGCCAGCCTCAGTCAGAGCTGCCCTCAGCTTTCCTCCTCCTGCCAACACCACCCATCACATCTTCCTTTGAGAGAAGGGAACAGGATTCAACTCTGGCATCATCTCCTCCAGGAAGTCTTCCTGATTGCCCCCCCTTTCCCAGGACTGCAGGTGCTGATGTCCTGTCTGTACCCCCTTCTAAAGCCTGGAGCTTAGCCAGACCAAGCAGCTCAGAAATGTGGAGAGCAGAATAAATGAGGGAATAGATAACCCAGGCCCAGTGGGAGCCCCTGGCCCAGCCTTGCCTGCCTCCCACCCTGTATCCTGGCAGCTGCCCTGCCCGCCCTGTGGGACCCGCCCGGCGCCACAGGAATCAGGCCAGCTGAGGGTTCCGGGCATGGGTGGAGGGGTCTCTCCAGGGCAGGGAGTGACCAAACGTGGTGTAGGGATGAAGACTGGCAGAATACTGGAGGAAGAGAGCTCCCTGCCCAGCAGTGTTCCCAGTTCAGGCTCTTGGAAGGGCTCCTGGGCACGGCGGGCTGGGGGAAGGGAGGTGATAACGGAGAGCAGGAGGGAGCATTGCTGAGAGCAGGGCAGAGAGAGCGTGGGTCAGGGCGGGGCGGGGGTGGGGGTTGGGGGAGCCTGGAGGGCTCTGCCCATCAGGCCCCTGAGCCAGCACAGAAACCCCTGGGACACCCAGCACTGAAGAAAAGGCCCCGCTCCCCAGGCGCTGAGTGTGCCCAAAGCTGGGGCTGCTGCCCCATGGAAGAGCAGTGTGGTCAGCAGGGTGAAACACCCCAGAAGCCCCAGCTCCAGACCACGGTGCCTTGGGGTGACCCCGGGCCAGTTGTGTGTTTTCACAAGACTCTGTTTCCTCACCTGGGGAGCAGGGCGGTTTATGAAGTCATGAGCCCCTGTGTGTGTCCATCCTGCATCCTGCCCCTCCCACAGCACACCAGGCTGCAAGCCAAAGCAGTCTGAAGCCTTTTTTAATTTGAGAAACTATCCTAAAGGGGCAGAAGACTCAGGGGAAAGATGTGGCACCCGGCGGAGTGGGTCCCATGAGCGGGTCACTCCTTGCAAGCATCCCCAGGGCCAGCCCAGGGCTGGGCTCCCTGGCCTCTGCACATTCTCAGGGTGCACGAAGGCACAGAGGCTCCAATAAGGGGATCATCAAAGCGGGGGCCCCCGCCTCCAGGCCCCATGCTCTTGACGCCTGGATTTCGGTCAGGGGTGGCGACAGAGACCCAGTAACTGGGGTGGGATTTACTGCTGTCCATGTGACGGGGGCTCTGAGTGAAGATTAAATAGATCTAAAGGAGATACCAAGAGTGCTCTTTCTGGCGGCCAGAGTTTGTAGACAGGGCTCCCAACCCTGTGTTTATAAACTGGGATAATAATATCTGTGATCGCAAAGAGCGATGTGCTTTGTAAACTGTCAAGTGTCAAAGTAGAGGCGTGTTCTGGACTCCTCATCCCAAGTGCCCTGGGGAGGGGCGCTCAAGCACCCGGCTCACAATGTTCCCCCCAGACCGCAGCAGACGGGCGATGTGGGAACAGCACGGGGCAGAACGACCGGTCCAGGACACCCACCCCCCACCCGGGCCTGCACCCGCCAAGGACCCAGACTGACAAATGACTCAGACATGCAAACACCCGGCCTGAGCAGAGGCCGCATTGGAGATGCCGCTCAGGAGCTGGGGTGCCCGGTGGGGCGGGCGGGCGGTAGTGGGGCTGGTGCTTGTGGGAGGGGCTTCCTCCCCCTCTGCCTGCCCCCAGCCTCAATTGTTTGCTCCAGTTGCCTGTGATGATGTCATGGACCTCATCCCACGTTTGAGCACTTGCTGTGTACCAGGCTTATTAAGACATGAGCCTTGGATCTTGAAGGCCTGTGAAAACCCCCGTCTCCATAGGAGGAAACAGGGGCTTCCCTGCATTCATTACTGTTTATACCACCATTGTCAGGTATGCCTAAGTGATCTGCTAATTATGCTAATCGTTAATCCCCATCGTCACCACTGGCCCCCTCTGCATCCCCCCCGCCCCCCCCACCCCTCCTCTGCTCCCGCACCCCGGGCCTGGGGCTTGCAGAAGCAACCTGTACTGGAAGCCCAGCCCCCCCACCCCAACTTCTAAACCCCTCTCCGAGCACAGCCTCTTCTTCCCTCAGGCCACTCCTGCATGATGAAGTGAGACCCAACGAGGGGCCCAGACCGGCAGCGTCCCTGCAGACCCTTTACCTCCAGTGAAGCCTGCCACCTGTCCTGTAGCAGGTCCCTTCCTTCCCCGGCTTCTTGCTCTCAGAGGGGTCCCTGGCCATGTCTGGGACGAGATGAGCTGCAGAGGGCCTTTCCGTGTCCTCGCCGAAGTGCTGGCCCTGGGCCGTGGCTGCCTGGTGCCCTTCAGGAAGCAGCGCCCTCTCTGGCTCTGTCACCAGCTTGAGGGCAGGGCCTCTCCCCGGGGCTGCGTGTCGTGGCTGCGCCCAGGCCGCTCCCTGCCAGCCCTGCAGGATGCCCCTCCTTCCCCGGTCCTCTCCCTCACCCTCGTGGGCCACTTACCTGCAAACTTTGAGCAGCAGGAGCCACCGTCTGGTGTCCCCTCCTCGCCTGTCCTAAGTCAGATTCGTCCTCCCTCATCGGTCCCCCTCCTGGTCTCAACCTGTGCTGTCCCCTCTGGTGGCCCCTGGCCACACATAACTTCTGAGCACTTGAAATACGACTAGTCCAAATTGAGATGTGTTCTAAGTATAACTTACATACCAGTTTTAAGACTTAGTACAAAAAAATGCAAAATATCTCATTAATAATTTTTAAGTATTTTTATTGATTATACTGTTACAATTTTCCCAGTTTTTCCCCTTTTCTCCCCCCTCCGCCCTAACCCCCCAAACCTTCCAGCATTCTCCCCCTCCTCAGTTCATGTCCATGGGCTGTACATAAAAGTTCTTTGAATTCTCTGTTCCCTATACCGTTCTTAACCTCTCCCCGTCTATTTTATGCCTACCAATTACACTTCTTATTCCCTGTACATTTCCCCCCATTCCTCCCTACCCCCTCCCCACTGAAAACCCTCCATGTGATTCTCTTCCTGTTCTCTTCCTGTTCTGGTTGTTTGCTTAGTTTTCGCCCCCTACAACTGAACAGGTGGCCCAAGACAAAGAAATAGGCCCAAATGAAAGAACACAGCAAAACTTCGGAAAGAGAGCTAAGCGACAAGGAGACAGCCATCCTATCTGATGGAGAATTTAAAGCCCTGGTCATCAAAATGCTCAGAGAACTGATTGAGCTTGGTCATTAATAATTTTAACTTTAATTATAGGTTCAAGTGATAATACTTTAGATGTATTGGGTTAAATAAAGCATATTACTAAAATTAATTTTACTTACTCTTTCTTTTATGTTATATGGCTACAAGGAAACTTTCAATCAGAGGAGGAGGAGGTTCTGGCCCCTCCCTAACGCCTGCAGCTGGGTCTAAGGGATGAGGGCGGTGGGCTGGGGGGAGGTGTGAAGGGATCCTTTACCTTTCTGCTGCTTCTCTCCTGGAATATCTGCACTTGAACCCAACTAGCATGCATTTCAGTCCCAAACCTCACCTGGGTCCATATGAGAAAGTCATGTTCCTCCCTCGCTCACACACAGGCATCCATGACTGACGGCAGAGACTTCTGCACTTGGAGTGGGGACAGCAGGGCCCTGGGTCCGGCTGACACTGAGCTCTTCCCAGGCAGCGCGTGCTGGTCTCTCGCTGGTCCAAGGTGCCATGCAGACAGGGCATCCTGCACTCAGTAGGTGAGAGGACCATGTGCAGACAAGGGAGAAAACAAAATTTGCGCCCCCAGGGTCCTGGAGGCCTGTCCCCATCTTCTGGAGAGCACACATTTGCTTATTACCTGACACTTTCAGACAATGGAGGAAACAGAAATGGTCCATCCTTCAGCTGGCTTCACTGATGGCCAGGCCAGTAGGGGATAAGATAATGCCACAAGCTCCACCTATGGGGGCCGGCACTGAGGATCCTCAGGGAAATCCTGGGGGCAAGGATGCCGAGAGCACAGATCTGCAGGGAGGGAGTTTCTGAGCAAAGCAATGACATGTTCAGAGTTGAGTGGAGGCTGGAGGCTTTGTTCTCCCCAGACGGGTGCACCTGGAGGGGCTGAGGACAGAGATGGCCTGTCAGGGACTCACCGGGATGCCCAGCAGGTGAGGCTTGTCAATGATAACGGTGAAGCCAGGCTCACGCAGCATTCGATGAGCCCTCTGTGGAAAGTTCTACATTGATACCTTGTGTACAGCTATGCAGGGAGGTGGCACAGAAGAGCTGAGGACTGTTGGATTTCCTAAATGTATGAGTGAGTGAACAAATGAAAGTTGGTTGACAACTCTAACCCCCAGTCCTTACATTATGTATTGAATGCATTGGACTAAATTGCCCTGGATAATCAGTTCACTGGGCTGGAGGCTGAACTGAGGCCCCCTTTGGAGGGGCACAGAGCCTTGTTGGATGCGAGTTAATGAAGCTCCTGTGATGAGCACGGAATGCTAAGAAGAGGGAGGGACACAGGTGAGGGGCAAGATGCAGGGCCCTGGTTTTGCAGAAGGAGGTCTAGCCTGTCAGCCTCAAGTTTATCCCTGCAAGCGCCCCTCCACACCTCTCCCGAATCCCCCCACAGCAAGCCCTCTCCAGCTGGCTACAGCCTCTCTCCCGGTCCTGGAATTAATAAAGACTGAGCAGACTGCGGTTTGCAAGTCTGAAAGCCGGTTCCTGCCCACGTCATTACCCTGAGACGAGTGGGGCCCAGCTCCTCCCCGGCACCCCATCCTCCCCCCTTCCTGAGAGGAGGCAGGCATACAGATGTGCCCCCGGGTCTCCTGTCCCCACCAGCAGGCACATCCAGGCACTGAGCCTCAGACCCTGACCCGGAGCAGCCTCTACCTCCCCAACAAGGGCTAGCTTGGGCTCTCGATCTCCATCAGCTACCCCCCAAACACCCCGGATGTAAGGGCCTCACACTTTCTGTGCAAACAGCTGTAAGGCAATTCCTCTGGCATGCCCACCCCTTCCAGACCCCTGGAGTGCCCACCACCTGAGAGCAGGAAGAGGAAGGGGTGGCCCAGGGTGCCAAGGTGGCCTGGGAGGGAGCCTGGCCCCAAAGCTACTGTACAAACAGGAGTGGTGCTTGCAGAGCTCGTGGTAGTGACGGCGGCATCACAGCCCATACCAGCACCCAGTGAGTACAGAGCATTTTGGATCGAGCAGGTGCAGTACAGAAACGTACGATCACGTGTTATTTATGTTCACAATAACCCTCCAAGGGAGGGATAGTAATCACCATTTGACAGATGAGGAAACCGAAGCTCTACGAAGAGGTGACCCGACTAGAAAGTGCTAGAGCTAGAACCGAGGCCTAGTCCCGGGTCCCCGAGCCCATTGGCATCTCCACTCTTGGCTGCCCTTGGTGGCCCTCCAGATGGCCACGATGCTCCTGGCCAGAGGAGAGGGTCATTTAATTCCTTCCCTTGATGCCGTGGCTGTGTCCTCCCCTCATTCTCCTCCTGGGTGAGGAAGGAGGGGAGAAGCTCTCAGATCTTGTGGCCTCAACTTTCCCCCTCCCAGGCTGTGATAAGGGCAAGTACCACTCTCCCCCTCCTACCCTGTGGCCCCCAAATTGCTTCCCTCTCCCCAACCCCCAAATGCCCAGGGTCCTCGTCCTGCCTGGTTAGGCGAGTATAACCCCGGGCCTTCTGGAAATGCTGGTCCCAGCTGTTTCAGCACAGGGCCGCCCCCTTCTGGCCACCCGAGGAATGTCAGCCCTGAGCAGTCAGGGGCTGGGAAAGAACCAGCAGTCTAGGAGTTCCCATGTCGGTCTGGGTGCTAGCAGTGCTCAGTGTTGGGACAGATGGGGGCCGAGTGGTAAAGGGAGACCGGGTCACCTAGCAGTCTTGGTGGGCTTCCCAAGCCCCTGTTCTCCCATGGGCACCTTGGGGGTTCAGCCTGATCTTTGCCAGACACTGTGGCCTGCACAGACCAGCATGTGGAACTGTGACTTTGATCCATGTAAGGGGAACCCTGTGGTGTGTCAGGGTCTCCCACATGTCCCCCAGATGCCCCAGGAAACAACACCAACATGGTCTCAACTCCCAGGCCATTCCCCTGTGCAGCCCCTCACCCTCTGCAGCCAGGGACCACAGACCTGACAGAAGCCCCCACCCACCCAGACTTCAGGGGACAGGCTGTGACCTTAACTCCTGCAGAATGGGACAAGGTATTGTGTCAGGGTCCCCCTTCCAGCTCCCAGATGCCTCAGAGGATAACAGCAATGTGATTTTACCTTCCAGGCCATTCTGCCTGTAGCAACCTCAACCTCCGTAGGCACTGGCCCTGGGCCGGAGCCCCAAGACCTGCCCAACACCCCACTCCCCTAGCTTTGAGCAGGGCCTGTCTCGGGCCAGGCCTGGGGGTGTTGGGGAAGTCTGGAGGGCCAGGGTGGGGGCAGAGGCGCGGGACAGCTGGCCTGTGTCCCCACACTGGGCCCGGGGCCCAGCCGGAGGGGCGGGGGCCTGGCCACTTGGGCCTTGGCTGGGGCTGGATTTTTGGCCGGGCTGCAGGGCCCTCCCTCCTGCTTCCTCTCCCGAGGGCTGTCCTGGCAGAGGCCCCCCTCACACTTTCTGGCGGGAACAGGGCCAGCAGTGAGAGAACAGCCACAGAGGGAAAGCGAGAGAGAGAGAGATGAGGGGAAACTGTGTGTGTGTGTGTGTGTGTGTGTGTGTGTGTGTGTGGACGCGCACGCGTGAGCGAGTGTGTGTTTTAAGGAAAAGAGCCCACAGTCCAGTCCACTCAGACCCAGCCTAGGAGGCTTGTGAGCCGGCCTTTCGTAATTGCCCCCCTCCCCACAGCCCCCTCCCCCCAGCCTCCCCCTTCTCAGGCCCTCCTGCCCGCCCTCTCTCCCTCCCTTCTTCCCTCGCAGCCGAGGAGGCAGCAATTACGCTTTGGGGATAAAACGAGGCGCGGAGAGCAGGCTGGGGCATTTCTCCCTGAGATGGCGGGTCCGACAGCTGCAGCCCTGCGGCCCGGAGTCCTCCTGCTCCTGCTGTCCATCATCCACCCCTCGCAGCCTGGAGGTAGGCCTCACCCTGTTCCCGGAGCTTCCCGCAGATCCTCCATCCTCCTGGCCAGGTGTCTGGGCTAATGGATGAGAGGGTGCCCTTCGCCCCCGGCATCCTCCAGGGGTTCCCAGGCAGGAGCCTGGCAGTCACTAGATCCTTATAACCTCCCCTCCCCAGACCTAGCCCATTCTGAGGTGGAACCTGTCACATAGATACCCCACGATGTGGGATGGTCCCAACAGGGACCGGGTTCTGCTGCTCTGAGGGGACTGAGGGGCTCCTGCTCTGTCTCTGCGCTGTCGGGGCACTCTCCTGGCGGGGGTGTTGGGAGCATGCTGAGGATGGACAAGGCGCCGGCAGTTTGAGTACCTGTGGACCCAACCCAGTGAGCACGTGTGCTCTGCAGGCAGGGGACGTGAGCTAGCGGCCAGCCAAAGTGAGCTCTGTGACTTCAGCAGGTTCCTTGTCCCCTGGGAAGTCAGGAACCCCTCTGAGGAAGGTCAGAGTTAGTTGATTATGGGTTTGCCGGTTGGAAAGCTGCTTCTGTGGTCTGTCCCTGGAGAAAAGGGCTGGGACTTCTGAGTGTGTGAAGTGTGTGCACACATGCATACACACGCAAACAGAAATGAGTGTGTTGCATGCTATTGCACAGGTGTGCATGGCTGTATATGCCCAAAGACATCACCAAATAGTGGAGGAGGTTTCTGGGATAAATAGTGGAGGAGGTTTCTGGGATAAGGCTCATCCCTGGACAGGTATGTGTATATGTGTGTACACGTGTGTGTACTGGTGTGTTTGGGGGAGGAGGTTGTAGGGTATGTGAAAGTGCCTGTTGACATTCACAAAAGTCTGCCACCTGACAGACATGTACACAGGGGAGATCTCGTGTCCAGGTGTGTCCTTAGGTGTGGGTTGTCTCTGTGCACATGATGGTGCACATGCAAGTGCGTGTGTGGCAGTCGTTGTGTGGAATAAAAGTGAGGACGGGGAAGCTGGGTAAAGTGTCTACCTCCTGGAAGAGGCAGTGTGGCTGATGGTAGAGGCTGGAGTGGACCTTGGGGCAGTCCTGGACCATCTAGAGTGTGTCCTGCCCCAGGTCCCAAGGGTCTCCCCATGGGGAGGTTACACACTTTGGGGACCCCTGGGAGGGCCACACCAGGGACCCCTCTAGGTGCTTCTGGCCATGGGCAGATGGGGGTGAAGGCCCAGGAGCCGTGTGCGGGGGTCCCGAGGTGGGGTCTGGTCCCTGTGAGAGTCCTCCTTACCATGAGAATGCAACCTCCGTGGGGACCACTGCAGGGGGCACATGGGGCAGGGGAGCAGGGCCGGGCAGGAGGGCAGCAGCGGGGGGCCAGGCAGGAGCAACAGCTGTTTCCGTGAGATTGCCTGTCTGGACCGGGCTGCTGGGAATAGGGGCTTCCTGCACAGAGGTCATCAGCTCCCGGCCTGACCGGCACTACGGGGTATATGCGCCATCAGATGGGGCCCGGGGGTGGGGAGCGAGACAGCCCAGAGGACCAGCACCCCACTGTCTGAGCGCAGCAGCTCTGGACCTGCCTGAACCTCCCCCTCCAAGGCGTGGCCCTGAACACCTGCCTGCCTGCTCAGAGCCCCCACCTGGAGCATGGCAATTAAGCCCCACAAGAGCCCTGACAGTGAAGAATTACCAGCTTCGCGTCACAATGGGGAAACTGAGGCACAGACTGGCTACAGCAGCCCCCGGAGCTTCAGTACCAGCCAGCTCTCTGCCCTGGGCCAGAGGATGAGGGGGTGGCAGCCAGGTGCTGGGCAACATCAGGGGAGGTTCAGACCCAGGGCTGAGTCTTCTGGGACGGGCAAGCCCTAGGGCAGAAGGCACCCTCTCCTTGTCCCCTCAGTGACACTGGGAAATGCTCCGCTGGCCTTCGTCTTCCCTTGCAAACGTAAATCACAGCTCTGTCGCAGGTGGCAGAATGAATCCTGGGTCTAAATAAGAGGTACATGACTGATGAGGTCCTTAGGGATTTGTGCCCAGAGCCTACCAAAGTCTAGAGAGGTCAAGGAGTGGGCGGGGCTGAAGCACACATGCACACACAGAGCTACATGACTGGCTGTCCTTGGGGAGCCCAGCGGCCCCCTACCCCAAGAGAGTGTCACCCTCATAGGTTCCCCAGCTCCAAAGAGCCACATTACCAGTGGAGGCAAGAAAGGGGCTCCCCGGGATGACTGTGTAATGGAAAAGGTTGTCTAGACCCAGTTCGAATGAGTCAAAAGTAGCTTTGAGGACCGGGTGTCCCAGACTCCCATACCATTGAGGGAGGGAGGGAAGGAGAGAGGAAGAGAGACAGAGAGAGAGAGAAACTAAATTAGGCATCTCCCGTCCCCCAGAAATATTATCAGGGGTTTTTAAATGTATTCTTGAACTGAGGATGATTTGGAAGATGAGGTAGGACCCTGACAAAGCTGCCCAAGGGACACCAATGACCAATGAGACTTCAGGGCTGAGGACCTCTGGCTTAGGGGTTGATCTGCTCTCTGCGTCCATGAGGCCGACACAGGAGGGCAGACGTGCCTTGCGGGCAACAGGGACTAGAGTCCGTCACTGGGAGGACAGATTGTTTTTGAAAAGCCCTTGGCAGCCTTTCTCCAAACAAGCAGCAAACAGCTTCGTGTGGTCTTATCTGCTCCCCAGGCGGGCCCTTTGGACTCGGGCTTGGCAAAAACCCCTACCAAAGGACCGCTTGCCCACTGCTTGCTCCCAAACAGCCTTCTCCCAGATCTTTGAACTTGGAGCCCAGGCCCCAGGCAGAAGGCCCTGCGTGTGACTGGGTTCAGCTATGAATCCCAGGCCAGGCACTTAATTTCACTGGCTCGTGGTATCCCTGGCTGGAAAATGGGGAGAAACCTCCCTTCCCTACTATCTCCTAGGGCTGGTGGGAGGCTCCAGCGATGCAACATCTGTCAAAACTGTATCAAATAAGAGAACTGTGGGAATGTAGATTCTTAAAATGATGTGTCTTCTTATTTAGCATTTGTTAACTTGAACTGATCGACCTTTGTAATTAGTGCACATTTATAAGCTTTCATTTCCCTTTTGCCATGTTGCATCTAGTGGGGAACAGAGTGCAGAGATGGAGGAAACAGACAGGACTAGGGCAGGGGTGCCCGGAGGGGTGCCTTCCAGAAACCCCAGGAAGGCTTCACAAGGAAGCAGAAGTGACGTCTGAGTTAGACCTTTAAAGAAAGGTCAATGTTTGAAGGGCTCTTATTGAATGACAGGTGAGACTCAGTGTATAGGCTCCGGGAGGCAGAACTAGAAAGACAGAGGGACAGAGTCTCTCCTGACAGGAGGAAGGCCTCTCTGCAAGTAGAGCAGACAGCATCAGGAAGTGGTGATTTTCCCATCACTGGAGGCGTGCAAGCAGGAACACCAGGGGATGTTTGCAGAAAGAGGTTTCAGCCCAGGCCAGAAGACTGTTATGATCTCTGAGAGTCTAGGATCATGATTCCAAGATGCAAGAGACAAGTTCACCCTGGACTAGCCGGTGAAATAAGCCAAACCCACATAAAACAAGACAAGCGTGCAGCAGGCCAACCATTCCGGGCCAGCTAAACAGTGAGAATCACAGGCTCGGAAAAGGCAGGAGGGAGAATCTGAGCTCAGTCCTGATGGAAGGGTAGGACTTGGAGGGAGGAGAAGGCATTCCTGGCAGGAGGACCTGCTCAGGCCAAGGAGTGAAGACAAACTGCTGCAGTGTGAGAAGTGACCGCTGCCTTTTCGTAGGCCCTCGACTGGCCACTGTCTCATCATCTCCTCGCCTCCCCTGCTCCTGAAGAGAGGAGGCCGGGCAGGGACCCTTCACACCCACTAAGTCTTCTCTACTTCCTCAGTGCCAGATGGGGATCAAAACCCGTGGTTCCTTAGGCTGTCATGGTTCAGGCACGGGGTTTGGCACATGCCACTGGGATTTGAATTGTGGGGGTGGGGAGGGGGGAGAGGAGATGGGTAGGCGCTGGGGGAAAAGGAAGCAGAGGAGGAACTGGCAGGCCTGGGAGGGGCTGGGTCATAAGCAGGTGTGGGACAGTAGAATCCCAAGAGAGGAAGTGGGGGTTCGGCCAGGTCCGAGTGCTAGACCAGGCCAAGCAGGGAGACCCCTAGGCTGCTTGGGGATAGAACAGGTCGGCCCCAGACCCGCAGGCAGTGTCTTTGCTTCCCCTCCACCTGGTGTGCCCATTGTCTATTGAGCACCCACTGGACACCCTGCCCCAGGCCGTGTGCTGTGCTGGGACATGGATACAAAGACATCTTTGGATAAAAGGACATTTTTTTTGAGAAATTAACTGTCTGCCAGGTCCAGGGCAGGACAGGTCTCCCTTAACTGGACCATTTGACAACTCACAGCAACTTTGCACGACAGTGGCTATCGGCCCCACATTGCTGAAAAGGAAACTGAGGCTCAAAGGGGTTAAGTGACTGGCCCAAGGTCACACTGACGGTAGGAAGTGGCCCAGCCAGGAGTAGAGGCAGATGGGTCTGTCCCGAGCCTCTTGCTCCCTCCACCCCCCCAACACTGTTCCCGCAATTGGCGCTGGACCTGGAGAGGAGGGAACGAGGCCGAGGCAGAGAAAGGCCCAGAGCGCACCCGGGAAAGGACAGAAGAGACAGTGCTGGGAGCTGGAGGCCAGAGCCAGGGAAGGCGAAGGCATCAAAGGCTCGATGCGGGCCATGTGTGTGCTTGGCAGCGGATGACAGGGCTGCAGCCCTCACTCCCAGTGGGCCCGCCCTCCTGGGGCCACCACGTCGAGCCCCGAGGCTTTGACCAGATTTCTTGCACACTCGGGGCCTGGAGTGCAGTTCCTGGGGGACCGCAGGCCCTGGGGGTGGGTGGTGGCGCCAGGACATTGGCACGGGGTGGCTGTGACAGCTTGGCATCCCCTGTTCTGCTGGCCTGTGTCTGGGGCTGACAGGGCCCTGGGGCCAACAGACCAGCTGTGTAGCATCGCCAGGGCACAGAGGCCAGATGTCTGTCCCTGAGGCCTCTGGATACACCACAGAGCTGACCTACACTGTCCCCCAGCCTGGCCTGTGCCCTTTTCAGCAGGGTGGTGCTGGGGCTTGGGCTGGGGCATCGGCAAGGTGGCTTGTCAAGGTCGGGGCCATTCTGAGGCGGTGGAGTTAGGGCCTCATCTGCAGCAGGATCATTTGTTGCCACGACCAGGCCAGGGGCTGGGGCCCAGCCTCACAGCATTCCCCAGCGAGAGCTTCACTGCTCTGTGGGGACTGAACTCGTGATCTTGGCTGCGCAGGCAGTCCCTGGCCTGGCCAGTGAATTAGCTTTTCCTTAGGAAACTATTCACTTTGCTCATTCATGGTGTCCCCCTCTGGGGCCCGGCGCCTCCTAAGACAGCCCTATGTCAGGCAGCCAGAACCCCACCCATCCACTGTTGCCCAGTGGCTGAGGACGCTGACCTCACGCCGTCCTATCAGTGTGGGAATGGCTGCATTTTTACTGGCAGCGGCCGCATTTCCTTACCGCTCACTTACAGCCCAGCCTGCTCTCCCACAGCCCTGGCCCCTGCCTATGCTACTCAGGGCTGGAGAGAGTTGGCTGCCCAGTGAAAGGAGCTCAAACCCAGCCTCACGCCAGGGCTTCTCCAGGGAGAGAATTGTCTGGGTTTGAATCTAGGCTCTATCTCTTCCCAGCTGTGTGGCCCCACGCATGTCCCTTAACTTCTCTGAGCCTGATTTCACATCTGTTGAGATGAAGATAGTAATCCCAGCTCTTCTCACCTCACAGGGTCACTTTACAGAGCACGAATAAAAAATGCTTTGAAAACAAAATTTGCTTTGTGGACGTGCAATATTATTATCATAATCGTCGTCATTATTGTTACCATGTTTTTACTAGTTCTGGCTAACACGGAACTCTACCTACTTCCTTTCAGGGGTCCCGGGGGCTGTCCCTGGAGCCATCCCTGGAGCCATCCCTGGAGTCATCCCTGGAGTAGTTCCTGGAGGCATTCCTGGAGTTCCTGGAGCCATTCCCGGAGTAGTTCCTGGAGGCCTTCCCGGAGGAGTTCCTGGAGCCATTCCTGGAGCAGTTCCTGGAGGAGCCTATTACCCAGGTAATGTACAAAAAACTTCCACATACCCCGGTGAGGCAGACTGCGAGTCCCTTCCTGAGAGGTGCACGTTTTGACACTACTGAAGGGGAGAACATTGTCATGCCTACCACAGAGGACACACAGGTCACTCCTACTTAGAAAGTAGGCAGTTTACATGGCACTGTGTCACACCTGTTAAGAGCATAAATCTTCTGAAAGATGAAACAGTGCTTTTGAGGCTACAGGAAAGTGGGTGTCTTCACACATTCCTGGCATTCACGGTCCTCAAACCATTGACCTCACTTTTGGAAATCCATTGAAAGGGAATCATTGACAAGGCGAGAAAAGGAAGGACCTGCAGCAAGGTTCACAGGAGTGGCGTTTGTGAAACATGAAACGAGGACCCACCTGACTAGAGGACGTGATGCAGAAAAACTCTGAAACATTACCCCGTTACTAAGAAGTACGAGTAGGTTATCTGTTGTGCAATGTGATGACGTGCTTTCCAAGTAAACACAATATAAAAGCAACAGCCATGTGCAGATGGAGACTGGGAACCCCCACCCTCCCCAGAAGAAAATGGGCAGAATGTTGGAGCAGCGCCATCAGAAGGCCATATTTTCCTTGAATTCAGGGGGATGAAGCATAAGGCTTTATTTAATACAGATTGAAAAGTCAAGGTAATATTTTCAATCCAGAGCTGACATGGAAGGGAGGGCAGCTCCCAGCACACTCTCAGGCACACACACTGGCACCGGACGATTGGCCCAATGAGACAGATGAGGAAACGGAGGCTCGCAAACTCCAGGCTTGCCTGAGGTCGTGCAGCTAGGCAGCGATGGATCTGACCGTGGGTTGATGGGTGGCTTTCTGGCAGGGGCACTGTTGAGAGTGCAGGGGCACTCTCTCTCTCTGTATATATACTGTGTGTGTGTGTGTGTGTGTGTGTGTGTGTGTGTGTGTCCCACAGGGACTGGCCTCAGAGGCCTGGGAGGAGGAGGTGAGCTCAGAAGCCAGATGTGGCTCCACACTGAGGGGCATTTAGTGTCACCCTGACTCACACAGGTCCTCGAAACCCAGAACCCCAGAACCCCAGAAGGCCCCGGCATCAAGGGCCCCCTTGTTTCATCGGCTGAGTGTCTGATGGAGAGAGACTTGTCTGAGCACTGGAACCCACCGGCCTTTTGAGCATCCCCCCAGGCTTCTTCCCTAGTGGCCCCTGCCTTTTTTCACATTTCCTTCGATCCTGCACAACATTCCTGAAACGCTGGCTGAGCGGGTATTATTGTCCCCTTCAGAGGCTGAGAAACTGAGTCTGAGAGAGTAAAAACCACAGATCAGGACTGCAGCTGGGCTTCCCACCAGGCGTCTAGACACTGGGCTCCCAGCAGCTCCCTGTGCAAAGGGAGGGCTGTCCCTGAGGGCCCTTTTAGGACTTGGAGAGTAAGAGCCCACAATGCCCTTGCTTTGCCCTGGGGGGATACATTGTGAGACAGGTGGGCCATTCACTACCATCTCTTTCCTCTGCAGCTCTGGGGCCTGGAGGCAAACCACCCAAGCCAGGTAAGACTGGAGGTCTTTGGGCACTGAAAGCAGGCCAAGGGCCAGGGGAGGGGAGGGGAGGGGAGGGGAGGGGAGGGGAGGACACAAGGAGCTGTTGACCTATCAGTGGAGCCTCCAGGCAAAAGGCAGGAGGGAAGTGGTGGGCAGTTCCAGTCCCCCAGGTATGAGCAGTCTCAGGCTGGGCTGAAGGGCTCTGGGGACAGGAAGCTGGCGGCAGCTTGTGTGAGGAGTGTCCAGCATTTATTCTATAAGCGCGGATGTGCCGAGCCGCCCTGTCCCTTCCGCACAGGGTTTCAGAAACAGCCTAGTGATCAGGACAAAGGTAAGGGTTGAGGTTCCAGTGGCCCCAAGCCTATGCATGTCACTCTGAGGCTCGGACACAGATGGTAGGCTCCAGACTCCACCTGGATGGTCCCCTGACTCCAGACCGAGCCCTCTCTAACCCCGTGCCAAGATCCTCAATATCCCTGGCCTTGCTGACAATGTGAGCCCTTATCCTGATCCCTCGCTGAACCCTGACTCCAGACCAAGCCCTAAACTTAACCCAGGTTGGACCCAGGCCCTGGCCCCACACAAGCATCCCTCTTGATCCCGGGCCCTTTCTGGCTGTGTCTAGACCATGGAGTTTCCGGGCAGGAGATGTGACTGGATTGTCCTGGCCTTGCCGAATAGGCCACCAGGGTCCACCACCAGTTCGAAAGAACACCCCCAGGAAAGACAGGGTGTGTCCCTCCCGGGAAGCACTGGCAGATAAAGAGCAGGTGGAGGAAACGGTGTCTCTGTCCAGACCGATGACCCCATTGGTGTGAGATGCTCCGCGTGTGGCCTTGGCACTCCCCACCGTGCTCTGTGTCTCCCGGCTCTGAAGCCCTGAAGCCCGAGGCTCTAGGACAATTTGCAAGTCCAACAGCTCTTACGAAATCCCGCTGTGCGATGATCCAATTGCAGATGAATCTGCAAGACCCAGATTCCCCTTCCCTGCAAGCCCATCTGGGTTTTGAAATGCCAGGGCTAGGGCCAGGCTAGAGAGAGGCCGAAGGGCAGGAAGCTAGGGCTTGGGGCTTCCTGGGGTCTGGGGTTCTGCAAGGCCAGAGCCCTAGGATTCACTGCCGTTCCTGCCAGAACCTGTATTCCGCCTCTTTGGAGGGACCTTCCCAGGGTCTTTGATGGTAGAAAGAATGGAGGGAAGGACTAGGTAAGCCGAGGTGTAGAAGTCGGTCTGTGCTTAGTCAAGAAGACCCAAAATGTGGAGGCTGTGACTGCAAAGCTAGAGGGGAGATTGGCTGGTCCCATTGGCAGCAGGTGACACATGTCACGCTGTGATTAAACACACGAGGGAGAACTGCAAGAACTGCACAGAGTCCCATGATAGCTGGTTGCTAAAGTGAAGCTTTTAGTAACGATTTAGTTTAGACTTCCAAAAGAATTTTCAGTTCAGGGTGAAGAAGGAGACCAAAATAAATAAATACATACATAAATACATAAATAACAGTCAGGGCATCTCCTTCTGATGAGAGGGCTGGATCTCACAGACTCTCTGTGGTCATCTTTTAGCCTCAGGGCTCTGGACTACAAAGGCCTGGACAAAGCCACAGTCCCCCTCCCTCCCCCAGGCAGCTCCCCGCATCCGGGCCACGGGGATGTCCGGGCCTGCCCAGGCAAGACGGAACGGGGCATAGGCCGTGTGTGTCGTGCTTTGGAACAATTAATCCCTTGGCGAGCAGTGGGTGGGTGGCCTGGCAGCTGCTCCCCCTGGGCCTCGGCGGCTGGCCGGCCTGGGCTCTCTGCGGGGGACCAGGCAGCTGGGAGCCAGCAACACCCACACCCTCAGCACTAGCTGGAGGCCAGCCACCCATGTGAGAGGACCGGAAGGAGCAGGGCACACCTACTGGGCACCCTGGCGTATTCCCCACACTAGGTGCTTTCTGCTCATGATCTCACGGGTCCCAGGAAGGTCAGGGACACAAGGGCCATCTCCTAGGCAGGGAAACAGCCTCAGAAAGGTGAAGTGATTTGCTCCTGCATGCCACTGAGTCAGTAGCAGCAGCAGGATTTGAATCCAGAGCTCTCTGATTCCAGAGAGAGAGAGAGAGAGGGTTGGGCTGGCCAGGCCCCTCAGCTCCCAGATGTAGTCAGCATCTCACCCCTCCTCCCCTCATTTCCAGGGGCCAGACTCCTTGGGCCATTTGGGCCAGGTAAGTCCAAAGGAAGGAGGGCAAACAGCAGTGGAGCAGGTCATGCTGGAGGGCAGTGTCGGGACCAGACTGCTAGAGGGAGTGTGGGAAAAGGACAGGCAGCTGCAGAGAGGTTGCCTGTTCCCAACCCCGCTACCCCAGCCTTTCTCACTTCTAGTTCAGTTCCCATCTTCCCTTCCCAGCCCCAATGTGGTCAGGAAGGCCCGAACACGCAGGTCCCCTGCCCTGTTGGAGCTCAGGAAACAGGCCTGGCTGGAAGGAAGCCCCTGAGAGAGCTGGGGAGGGGCAGGGCCTATAGTTCTGGGAAGTGAACTCCACCAGCCCCGGGCCGGGCCTGCCTCACACCCTGCACGCCTGGAAGGCAGACTAGGCAGAGTTAGAGACCCATCTTTCAGAGGGGCTGGCTGAGTTTCAGATGGGGCCAACTCAAACAAGTAGGAAATGAGTAGGGGGAAGGGAGACCACACCCAGCGAAAGTCAGGTAGACCCTCCGGGCTTGGCAATTGGTTTCCAGCGAGGGCTTCCCTGGGCTCAGCACCCTGGCAGCCAGGACTGGTGCTTGCAGGAGAGATCCTCACATAATTGGAAACAACCCCGGCTCGCTTGTGAACTCCAACCTGATTGCCCATCAGTCCTGGCCAAAGTCATGGAATGTGTCCTGGAGGGGGAAAGGGAGCGATTGGGCCCAGATGTGGGAAGAGAGAGCCAGAGGGACCCGTTTGACTTTTTATAAACATTTCAGCATCTGTATGAAATAGAGGAGGCTCCTAGACTGCAGGCATGCTGGACAAACAGATAGACAGATGGTGAAGGACAGAAGGGTCTCCAGATGAATGGAGGAGGAGTGGGCTGAGCCAGGTGACTCCTGACAGGAAGTAAAAGAGAGGTCTGGGGAAGGGGCTGGTGTGGGAGCAGGACAGGCCCGGCCTCAGGGAGGGCGTGCCGGCAGACTCGACTCAGCTTCTGCCCTCGCAGAAAGCCCTGCTGAGTCCCCCATTAGCTGGCAGTCCTTGTAGGAGAAGCAAGGCCTGGCCTGGGTACATTATGGGGCATGTGGGGTGGGAAGTCAGTGCAATTGCATCTACATAGCACATAGCAGCTAGTTGCTAAATGGCAGCTGCTGTTTTATCAGGATCAGCCTCTGAGAACCAAAAGCTCCAGTCCGGCTTAGGGTTATGAGTGGCTGCACACTGACCAGAGTGCTGCTTGGTTCCTGCCTGCCCTCCACAAGACCCTTCCTACCCAGGATCCAGGAATGATGCCCACCCACCAGTCTCTCTTCTCACCTGGCTCTGTCTCCTTCTCCCTACAGGTGTTGGAGGACTTGCAGGAGGTATCCCTGGAGCAGGTTAGTGTTGACACCCAAATAAGATGCCCATCTAGGGGCCAGAGACAAGCCCAGGGCACCTGCTTACTATGTGGGCCAGGCCGGTCCTGGGCATGCACATGGGGATGATGCTGGGACCACTTGCCCAGAGTAGCTGCCCAAACACAATGAAGTCACTTCTGCTGCATCCTGAGTGCTATTATAATGCAGTGCTAAGAACTGAATGGAAGCGGCTGCAGAGGTCAAGGGAGCCCAGAGGAGTGGCTCTACTCAGCAGGGCTTCAGGAAGGCTTCTTGGAGGAGGGCCTGTGGAAGTTTGACTCCAAAAGATCCCTGCAATTTTGTCAGGCTGAGCACAGCCATCTGGCGCACACTGCTCTCTGACACCAAACCCAGTCCTGAGAGCAAAGGCTGCTGCTTGGCATGGAAGTCCTGCAGAGAGCAGAAGATCCACCTCAAATGTGCTTCCTGGGCAGAGCTGGGTGGGCTCAGGAGCTCACCCCATCCTCCCCTCCACAGGGCTTGGGACCTTTCCCGCAGGCACCTTCCCGGGGGGTCTAGTGCCTGGCGGAGCGGCTGGCGCTGCTGCGGCCTATAAAGCTGCTGCCAAGGCTGGTGAGTGTGACTCTTTGGGACATGCTATAAGACCCTGTCATCTCTGTGGGCTCTGCACTTTGCAAAAAAATATTTCCTGGGGAGCAGGCAGGTGGGATCCTCATCTCCAATCCTCTGGGGCTCGGGGAAGCAGCCAGTCTGCAAGTAAGGTGGTAGCAAGCTCAGATATCAACACTGGGCTCTCTGTGGGCACTCACGTCCCTCCTGCATGACTCCTCACCTCTCCCACCCCTGGCTCTGTAGGTGCTGGGCTTGGTGGTGTTGGCGGCGTTGGAGGTTTCTTAAATGGCTTAGGAGTGTCTACAGGTATGGTGGCTAGCCCTAGGTTGCCCAGGTGAAGGCTGAAGACCTGGTGACACCCACTCTGATGCGGTCCCTTCCATGCCAGGTGGAGTGGTGGCTCCTGGAGCAGGAGTCGGAGCTGGAGTAAAGCCTGGGAAAGTGCCGGGTCAGTGTGGAGTCCCTGGGGCTGGACACAGGGCCAGGGAGGCATCGAGGCTCCTATTCTTTCCTGGGTGGGAAAGGCGGGGCCTGGCTGCAGCAGGGCAGGGAAGACAGCCAGGCCCGAAGTGTGGAGCCTTGTTCAGAATCAGGGAGATGGACCCCAGCCTACACTCTGGGCCCTTCTGCCAGGCTCTTGGAATAGAAAGAGACCTCAGAGACAGGCTCTGTGGACAACATTCAGGCGGCAGATGGGGACACAGGCTCGGAATGGAGAGTCAGTGCAGAGGGCCCTTGGTGGTCACAGGAAAGCCGGGGTGGCCTGAGGTGCCTTGACTCCCCATCTGGTGCTCATTCCTCTGTACCAAGCCCTTGACAAAGTGACTTCAGGTTAAACAAAAGCTTGCCTGAGTCCACACAGCAGGAGGGAACATCTGGAAGCTGTTAGCCCAGAGGTGGGCTGGGCTGGCCATGGTAAACATGCTCCAGGAGACAAGATAAATGAATGCACAGAAGGGTCAGCAGATGACTTTTGAAACTCCCGCGATGAAGGCCACCACACGTGTTCCTGGCTGCCCCTGCCGGAACTGGGGCGGCTGGTTCGTGAGCCCTGGAGCCACCAAAGGAAGGGCCAGGGAAGAGGGGGTTCCTGGAGGCTGGGTTCCTGCTCATGGCTCCTCCCTCTTTTGGCCACAGGTGTGGGACTACCAGGTGTATTCCCAGGTGGAGTGCTCCCAGGCGCAGGTAAAGTTGAAGAGGAGAAAGGTACCCTATTGCAAGGAGACCATCTTCTGGTAGCCTCCTGGGGGCCGCTCACCCCGCTGCAAGCCCAGGCCACCAGAAGCCTTGGGTTCCTAAACATCAAAGTTCAGGCTTAGATGACACAGGGCCCCTGTCATCTTTCCCCAGGAAAGCCAGTCAGCTTCCCCTTGTCCCACCCAAGCCCTGACCCCAGGCCCAGACCCAGATCATCAATGCAGCCTGAGGTGGGCCCCCGAGGACACAGCAAGTACCCGGTGTAGCCAGCTAATTCCCAAAAGCCATGAGTCACCAGGGAGCCCGCCCAGAGCATCTGCCCTGCAGGAGACCCTCGGAGTTGCCCTCTCGCCCTTCTCTCCCTGCCAGGGTCTGGCCACCCCACCCAACATGTGACCTCCTGAATTCCCCCAAAAGCCCAGACTTAGGCTGTTCTGCAAGATTTGTTGACAATGTCTCTCCCTCTGTCCCTCTGGCTGAGGTGGCCCAGTCCCAAGGGAGACAGGAGAGGTGGGAGCGCCAGACACTGGCAAATGCAGAGTTTCCGGTCACGGCAAATGGCTGTGTGTGTTCGGTTGTGACTGTAGGCCAAGCAAGGGCCGTGAAAGGGCGCAGGCTCCCACCTCGAGCCAGCTTTCACTGTCTGTCCTCTCTGGTAAGGGTGGACGGGGGGCTGGAAATTCATTCCAGCTTAGAGACAAGGCCAACTGAGGAACAAGATCACATAGCTAGGAAATGGGATTAAAATTCAGTTCTTCTGTCAGACAAGGAAGAAAAGTCACCACTAAACAGCCCCCGCCCCACATGAGCTGTGTCTGTCAATGACAGTCATTGCAGAAGGAGGTCAACTGTGTGACCCAAGGAGTGGTGAGGGTGCCAGGCTAGTGGGCCTTTGAGGCCTGCCTTCCCACCCTCACTGCCAGACACTCCCTTTCCCCCCTCAGGAGGTCGGTTCCCAGGTGTGGGGGTGCTCCCTGGGGTTCCCACTGGAGCAGGAGTCAAGCCCAAGGCCCCAGGTATGTGAACAGTGGGCTGGGGACCCGGGGTGGAAATCTGCACCCACTCGCAGGACCCTACATGAGGCAGTGGGGCTGGGCCCTGGGCTCAGTGCCCCGTGGGTGGGAGCCCCCTGTGCTCCAGCCCTGGTGCATCTGACAGAGGTGGACAGAACACCTCTCAGAAACCCCAAGTGGACGTGAGGGCAGCATAAGCCAGGAGATCTGGGCAGAACTGACCACTACTTGGGCCAGCCCACCTCTCTGTGCTGCCTGGCGCCAGCCATTTGGTGCCTCTACCCTGAGCCCCTGGTGGAAGGGCTACAGTGACGTCTCCTCGTCATTGCAGGTGGAGCCGGAGCTTTTGCTGGAATCCCAGGTGAGGCAAGGCAAGAATCCCCAATGAGTGGGCAGGCCAGCAGGGTGGCCAGCCAGGCACGGGCTCTTGCTTTGGGAGGGGCTGAGCATTCAGAATCCCATCAGGCCTGTCCAGTTTCCCTCATGCCTACTGCTCCAGGCCTTGGATTGGCTGCAGCACAAAGTGGCACCCATCACAGGTCTGCTTCCGCAGTCCCAGCTCCTCACGAGTAGCAGCCCACACAAGCCCAGAAAACCTGCCGGTGTGTGCCAAATGCTGTGGAGGGGAGCGGATTCTGCAGCTTTCTGTAGGAAATGGCCTCACACTGGCAGGGCTCAGCTGACGGGTGACAGGAAGGCAGGAACACCCTCTGGCAGGATGGTTTCTGGATGCAGTGGGAGCTCATGCTGTCTGAGCGGAAAGCAGAGAGTGAGGCTGGGGGCTCAGCAGAAGCTGCTGGCCCAAGTTGCTAGGACCTGATTTTGCTCCTCTTGTTCCCACAGGAGTTGGACCGTTTGGGGGCCAGCAGCCTGGTGTCCCACTGGGATACCCCATCAAGGCACCCAAGCTGCCAGGTAAGTCAGAAGGAGGATTCAAGGGGCACTACTCACCGGGTCTCACTGCTGAGAGAGCAGCTTGTGGGGGACACTGTTTGGGCTACCAGTGTCTCTTGCAGGGGGCATCAGGAAATCTGGGTACTGAACCTCACTTTTGATCATCAGCAGAGGAAAACCTGGGGCAGCCATCCTGCAGGGGCTGGTCTCACTCACGTGCACACCTGCACACATGCATGCACAAGCACAAAGACCCACAGCCTTGACAGGAAACCACTTGTGTTGATGGGAAGAAACACTGTTCACTGGAAAGATGCCTCTGACATCCACACCCCTCCATCAGCTCACATGATGGGATGTTTCTTGTTGGGGAGGGGAGTAAGGAAGCTACTCAGACGCTAGGGGCCTGGCAGGGTGCCCCATCTCCCTCTCCCACCCAGGGCCTCTGCTCTTTCGAGAGTCTCTGTGAGTTGCTCATGACCCTCGGGAGGGTCTTAGGCCTCTGCAACTGTGGGACTAGATCTGTCCACCAAGGCAGTGGGAGCCCAGCAAGGCACGGGGCTGCTGTGTGGCAGAGCCTGAGCCCACCCTACTCTCTCCTCAGGTGGCTACGGACTACCCTACAGCACTGGGAAACTGCCCTATGGTGAGTACGGCCCTGCTAGACCAGCTCTTTCCAGATGCAGGGTCCTGGCAAGGAAGCTGCAGCCCCAGCCCTGAGCTAGGAGAGCACCAGCTGGGGCCGGGGGGGGGGGGGGCGGGGGGGTGGGAAGGGAATTCCCTAAGGAAGGAATGTGGAACTTGGACTCAGACAGCTTGGTTCTCAGTCCTGGCCCTCACACTTATCACCAGGCCTTGGGAGAACCAGCTTCCTCTATGAGCCTCGGTGTCCTAGTCTGTACCATGGGAGTAGCCATCCCTCACACACATTTGAATTTGTCTTAACCCTGACTGGGGGGGACAGGGTAGAGACTCTGGCAGCCCAGCCCTGCAGGGCATGGCAGGGGGGCAGCTGCGGTGAGATCTGCATGGATGCCCAGCGAGCCTCTCTGTTTTACAGGCTATGGGCCGGGAGGAGCTGCTGGTGCAGCGGCCAAGGCCGGGTACCCAACGGGGACAGGTAAGGAAAGCCTCACCCCACTGCCAGCTTCAAAGGGGCCATGATCACCCAGGCTCCAGAGCTCCAGAGCGGGCCAGGGTCTCTCCAGAAATCAGGCCAGCTCACCCTGCATTCAGACCCCAGTCTTCCTGGGGAAAGATCCTGGGTGGGGCAGCTCTCTCAGTCTCTGATGCCTACAAAGCCCCCCCCACCTACACCCACTGGTTCTCTCAGGGCTGGAACAGGAGGCCTGTGGAGATTCAGGGGCACAGTTTTCAGTCTCTGTCTTTCTCCTCCCCCAGGGGTTGGCCCCCAGGCTGCAGCAGCAGCAGCAGCTAAAGCAGCAAAGTTTGGTGAGTACTTCTGGAGTCCCTCACCGCTAGCCCCTAGCCCCCCAGCCTCTCTGTCCCTGTCACCACTGAGAGCCTGCCTCACAGCAAATGAAACAAGGCAGCTCCTCCCCAGCCTACCCCATTCCCCCAGCTTTTCCAACAGCACCCATTCCTCCCTCCTTCCCTCCACCCTTTCATTTACTCTTCCCCATCCCTCTCTCCATCATCCACCCATCCATCCATCCATCCCTCTCTCCATCCCTTTATTCACCCTCCATCTCTCCATCCTTTCATCCCTTCCTTCCTCCCTCCCTCCATTTTACAGACCAGGGACAGGTGAGAGCTTTGCTGGAGACAGGAGGCACTGGTGTGGGAGTCAAGGAGAGGGGATATTGTTTCTACCGGGGAAAGGAAACCAGGAAGGCTTCTCAGAGAAAATGATACTGACTGACTGAGGCCTTAAGATATAGGTGGAGTTTGTCACATGGTTAAAACAGGAAGAAGAAGCCCTTGCAGAGGGAATGGGTACTACGGTGGTTAGAGAGATTATTTTAAGTGGGACCTATATGAGTATTTTAAAAATTTAATAGTTTAGTACCAATTTAGTGTGTACTATAAAATGTTTAACTAGCTCCTCAGGCTCATGATGGCTTGGCTGGCAGACATGGCATGGCCTTCCCCGTACCCATGAGGTGAGCAGAGTGGGCATCTGTCCCCCTGCCCCCGGTAGTCCCAGTTCTGAGTCAGATCACCGGGGCTAATGTCCTCGCCTTCACCCCCAGGGCCAGGGGAGCCCTTCCGTAGCTGTGGTGGGACAGAAAACATCTGCCCACCGGCCGAGGGGATGAGAATGTGGGGGGAAGGACGAGGCTGGAGGCCTGCCCCAGGGAGGCCCCACAGACCCTCCCTCCAGGCCCCTAAGGGTGGAATGTGGGAGCAGAAGAGCAGGGCGGCAAGGGGCTGCCAGACCCAGGCGGCCAGGCACTTGGATTACAACTTGGCCGAGTCTTCGGAACACAGGGAGAGGAAGCCTTGAACATTCCTACAGGGGCCCCTCTGGCCTGGGGAGCGGCCGCTTGTGGTTTCTCAGTATGTGGCAGTGATTAGAATGGGATTTGTCTGAAAACATACAAGTCCCTTAATGAGCGTGTTGAAACGGACACTTTGGGGGTGAGTCAATGAACAGTGGGGTGGGGGCCTTCTCAAGCAGGCTCAGCCAGAGATTCCTGGGCCTCATTCCCAGAGGAGATCATGCTAGTTTAAATGTCAGCATCTGAGTGGCCTTTCTTCCTGGCCTCAGGAGGGGCCCTAAGAGCTATATCTGCTCTGTCCCCATTCCAGCAGGTGCTGGAGGAGCCGGAGTTCTCCCTGGTATTGGAGGGGCCGGCGCGATTCCTGGGATTGGAGGCATTGCAGGTAGTGTCTGTTCCAGCAGGGGTGGGGTGTCCTTGAGATGGCCCCCTGGGGAAAGACTTCACCCTCTGTGGCTGTCTTGTCTCTCCAGGGGCTGGGATCCCAGCTGCTGCTGCAGCTGCTAAGGCAGCTAAATATGGTGAGTGCTCCCAGGGGAGGCAAGCCTGGGCTCCAGCCTGCCCTTAGACCCTTGGGGCCTGTTCAGTCCTCTAAGGCTGTATGGACTTTGCTTTCATCCATCTGTGAAAACTTCACTTCCACCTCCCCAAACATGGCCGTACCCATTCTAGCCATTCTGCCAGGCCCTCTCTGTTGTTCTCCACTGACTGGCCCAGCAGGGGGGTGGGGGGGAGCCACTGTGGAGCACCTGGCTCCTTCCACCCTACTCCCAAGGCCAACCCATAAGTCCTGCTCCAACTGCCTGTGTTCTAGTGGTATGCTCTGAACTTGTTTTAGACATACACCATGTTCTTCCCATCCACAGACCCAAACCTGTAGAGCTCTGTAAGCAATGCCAGCCCGCCTGGGATTCCATACTCAGGACTTGCCACTCCCACAGCTCTCCCGAGCCATGCCCTTGGAGGTCCTCTGAGGGTCCCATGGGGTCCAGGCCAGAACAATCCTTTCCTTCCACAGGAGCTGCTGGAGGCTTGGTACCTGGTGTCCCGGGAGTTGGAGTCCCAGGTGTTGGAGTTCCTGGCGTTGGAGTTCCTGGTGTTGGGGTCCCAGGTGTTGGAGTCCCTGGTGTTGGAGTCCCTGGTGTTGGAGTCCCTGGTGTTGGGGTCCCAGGTGTTGGGGTCCCAGGTGTTGGAGTCCCAGGTATTGTGGGTAGGCCAGATGAGCTGGGCTGTGTGTGTGTGTGTGTGTGTGTGTGTGTAAGAGAAATATTAAACCTATTGCCAAGACTTTTAGATTCTCCCTAATGCTTCACTCATCTATCTTCTTCTCCCATACCCTTAGCCGTAACTCATCTTCTCTCCCTTGGGTTATAACAAGATCCTAACTAGTTGCTGCCAGCATTATCTTCTCCAACTCACCTCTGGCTGTCAGTGTGATCCTGGGGGGAGGAAGCATGTCTCTGTCATCTCTATGTTCTCAGCCCTTAGCTAAATAGTTGCTCAGTAACTGGTGGGTAAATGGGTGGGTAGGTGGATGGATGGATAGATGGGCAGCTGGGCAGCTGGGTATGTGGGTGAATGCCCATGTGGATGAGTAGAGAAGTTGATTGATAAGAGAATGAATGGGCAGATACAAGGATGGATGAATACATGAATGAATACATACATGGGTAAAATGGTAGATGGGGAGATGAATGGGTAGATGGAAAGACAGGTGGAAAAGCAAGTGAGGGACTAGATAAGTGATTAGAATGATGGGTGGGTGCATGGATGGATGGATGAACAGACTGATGGATGGTGGATGGATGGATGAGTAGCACATGATTGGAGGAGGAGGTGGGTAGGGGACAAGTGCAAAATGGATGGCTAGATGGATAGTTTGATGAATGGGCAGATGAATGAATAAATGGTTGGAGAGATGGGTGCATGAATGGACAGAAAGATATGTGGCTGAGTGGTTAAAGTCTAAGGATAGACAAAAAAATGGAGAGACGTAGCAGGTAGGTAAGTGGGTGGATGAATAGGTGGCTAAGTACACAGATGAATAGATGGAGATGTGAGTGGGTGGATAGATAAATAGACATCCTTGGATTGGCTTGATAGAGTTAGACTGGACAGATGAGTGAAAAGTGAACACATATTGAGCATTTATCATCCATGCTCTCCTAATCACTTGGGTCTGCTTGGGTCTCTCCAGGGGCTGTGTCACCAGCTGCAGCTGCTAAAGCAGCCTCCAAAGCAGCAAAATATGGTGAGTGTGCTGATAGCTGTGCTTCATCCTACCCTGTTCCGGCCAGAGAAAGGGCATAGCTTGGCCAGGGTTACCTAGCAAGTCACTGGCAGAGCTGGGAAGTTGGACCTGTTGGGCCCAAGGATGATGTCTTCCCAGTGGACTCCCACCATGAGGCCATGGAGCTGAGTGATGGGAGAGTCCTCTATGGCATTCCCAGTGGGAACCGTGTCTCTGACCTTCCCTGCCCCAGCCAGGGCCCCTCTCCATGAAGCCTGAGCCTGGCTGGGGAAATGGGACCTGCCCACATCCTCCCCATAGTCACCAAAGGGGTCCTATCCCAATCAGAGCAGGGTTGGGGAAATGCTGGGGCTGGGGTCGGGGAGCTGGTTATCAATAAAGGCTCCTAGAAAATGCTGGTAGGGGCCCAGGTGTTCTATGGTTTACTGTCCTTCAAGGACCAGATTTGGGTGAGGCTTGCACCCACTTCCCCAGCCCACCAGCATCCCCCAGCACCCTCCCAGTCTCTCTCACTGAGCTCCTCTTCTATCCAATTCTCCTCCCTCCAAAGGGGCGGAACCAGAGTGGGAGTTGGAGGCATTCCCACTCACAGGGTTGGTGCTGGGGGCTTTCCAGGTCTTGGAGCCATCCCTGGAGCTGTCCCTGGAGCCATCCCTGGAGCCGTCCCTGGAGTTGTCCCTGGAGCCATCCCTGGAGTTGTTCCTGGAGCCATTCCTGGAGCTGTCCCTGGAGTTGTCCCTGGAGTCCCTGGAGCTGTCCCTGGAGCCATCCCTGGAGCCATCCCTGGAGCCATTCCTGGAGCTGTCCCTGGCATTTCCCGTGAGCCCTAGCTCTATCTGGGGAAACGGGGAGAAGGCATGGGGGCTTCTCTTCTGTAGGGCTCTAGGGGGAGTGGGAGAGTGTTGACTGGGCTTCAGTGTGCTCAGGGGGAAGTTGGGGAGAGCACAGGGAGGGCCTGAAGTGCCTCTCTGGACAGGAGAGCAATCAGCACAGCCCCACTGGGGTCCAACGAAGTTTCTAAGAATCTCTTTCATTTTCTTGTATCTGCAGCTGGGGCAGCAGCCGCTAAGGCAGCCAAGTTTGGTACGTGTCCCCACCCTGCATGCCCCCATGCCCAGGGCAGCATTCTTCTCTCCTGGGGAGCACCCTCTCCTCCTCTCCACCCCAGCCCTGCCCTGCTCTGGGGCTCAGGCTCTGAGCTCGGAGCAATTCCCCAGCATGAGGACAGAGCAAGCTCACACTCAGGCCTCCAGGTCAGAAATGGCTTGCGCTAAGATTGGAAGCCCCTGATCCCATCTTCCAAAGCTGCACTGAACTTTTCTGCCCTTTTCAACTCCCCATCATTTGGATTATTGGTGCCCCGCTTATCACCCCACCGCAAACCAGTGAGTTGAAGGTGCTCATTGCAGCCATTCTGGTCCCCTCCCCACCCCTACCCCTCTGCTCCCTCAAGGAAGGGGAGCTTCAAGGGGCACAGCTAGACGTTCGTCCTTTACTCCTCTAGGTGCTGGAGGAGCAGGAGCCCTGGGAGGGCTGGTGCCAGGCGTTGGAGGTTTAGTACCAGGTGTGCCAGGCGCTGGAGGGGTGCCAGGTGAGCTGTGTCCCCAACCCAGAGTCAGGCTTGGTTTGTCTCATGGAAGGGGCCCTGGAGTTGACCCAGGTCAAGTGCACCATTTTAAAGATGGCAAGACTGAGCCCAGAGATGGGGAGGAGGGAAAGCAATGTCCCCTACTTTGGAGGGAAGACTACTTATGGGATTCCAGTCTGCCGAACAAACCTGGCAAGTCACTCCCTCAGGGATGCTCAGGACATCCGGTTGCCAACCAGCTGAGCAGCAGAGCTCTGCTCTGTCAGAGTGGGGTGGCCTCATTTACCTTAGGGTCCTTTCTGTTGCTGACCATCTGGAAGGGCGTGTGTCACCCTTTGGTTCCCCTGCATTATCTTCCACCAGTTGCAGGCCAAAGGAAAGAAATTAGGAGATACACTGAGATGAAGTTACAACCTTCCTTGGTTGTTTTTTCCTACCAGAAGATTTCTCTTCTAGATTCCTTCTTCTTTCTGGGACAAAATTCCCCTTTTGAGTTTCCCTCCAAAATGAGATATTTCCTCTAATAGTTTTAGATACAGGCACAATGAAGATTTTTTAAAATTAACATCATCTTTAGCAGAATGCGTCACAGATATCTGAAGCAAAGGCTTGGAAAGGACCTAGGCCTCTGCCAGTCACAGCTTTGGGCTGCCACCACCATAGTCCAAGCTAGACTGTTGCAGTCCGTGGGCTGCTTTCAAGGAAGGAGTGTGCCCGGGGCAGCTAGTGGGCCACCCTCAGAGTGGGCCTGGAGCCCAGGCGGCCCAACTCAGCCTGGGCTCTGCATACTTCTCTCTCTGTGTCCAGCGTGAAGAGGCAGCCCCAGAGAGGGTCTGCTGGGAGAGGGGATAGTTCCCCCGAGGGGGACTCTGGGAGGTCTTTCCAAAATGGGGGTGGGGGAGAATGAGGAGGGGTATAGAAGACCCCCTCCCCAACCCCCTCTCTTCACCCTTCCAGGTGCCGGGACCCCAGCAGCTGCAGCAGCTGCAGCAGCCGCTAAAGCTGCGCAATTTGGTAAGTGTCCTACCCCAGTTCTGCTCCCGGTGCTCATCCTATAGCACTGCTCTCTCATGGCCCCTGTTCTGGGGTCTGGGAGCCCCCTCAAGCTGTCACATTCTCACTGTGGGCCTTTTGATGCATCTGTCCACTTTTAGGGAGTGGGTAAAGTCTCTGATCAGGAAAGCAAAGTGAGAACAGGCCCTGAGGAGGCCCCCCAGGACCAATCTCCCCACCCTTCCCAAAGCCCCTGCTGCCCCCAAGTCTAGCTGGGGCCCGCCCCACTTCCGGACCTCAAGTTGGGCTCCTCTGGTTCCCACTCTCTTGGTAGCAAGATTTCTTGTTCCCTGACAAGGTTCTCCAACTCTCAATGCATCTGAGGGCCCCCCGGGCAGCCTCAGCTGCCTCCACCTTCCTGAACATAGTGAATGGCAGTAGCCCTGACGCAGAGCCCAGCTGTCGGCCAGGCCTGGGCCAGGGCACCTGCACACCTTGGCTTTAGGGACCTGTGGGCAGCAAGATTCAGATCAGAAGATGTAGGGCTGTCTAGGCCACAGAAATCTTAATTTCGGGTCCACTGACCCCTAAACTCACGTATGAAAAATGACCCCTTTTTTTGTAAAGCTGCCATTTGCTGAGGCGATCTTTACAGCAAGTTTACAAAGTTGGAACCATTATCTCCATTTTGCAGATGTGGCAACTGAGGTTCTGAGAGCTTAAATAACTTGCCCATTGTCACACAGCTAAATGGTGGTTGAGCTGAGCTTTGAACCCATGTCTGTCTTGCAGAACACCCTTTACTACATAACTCTGCCTCCATTACCCTCAGAAGTCTCAAACAGGTCCTTGTGCCTCCAGAGGTTAAGAACTCCTGATCCTACACGTGTCTCACATTAGGGGTGAGGACACTGAGACGCATCAAGGGAAAATAATCTTTCCAAGATCACACAGCCGTTCTGTGCCCCGCGTGGGATGGAAACCCAAGGCTCCTGATTCCCAGCTCGCTGCTCTTCCCATTAGCTTCTGTCCATCTTGGTTGGGATCGGGTTAAGGATCTGTTCTTCTCACTTGTAGGGTTAGGCCCTGGCGCTGGCGTGGTTCCTGGCGTTGGCATTGGCGCCGGTGCTGGTGTAGTTCCCGGCGTTGGCATTGGCCCCGGCGGTGTTGCAGGTGAGCTGTGTGAGAAAGTGGGCCTGAGGAGCCTCTGAATCCTCTATGGGTGACATCCCTGATGCCCCTCCCCTCTCTTTCCAGGAGCAGGGGTGCCAGGAGCAGCCAAATCTGCTGCTAAGTTGGCCGCCAAAGCCCAGCTCCGTGAGTGCCCTGCCTGGCTTTCCCTCCTCCCCCGACCAAGCCCAGGTTGGCCCGGCACAACCCAAGCAGGAACTGCGCCCCACAATATGCAGCTTCTCAGGCCTACTATACAGACTGGGGGATCCCCAAGGGAGTAGGCGGAGGGTTTGGGAAAGAGGATTTAGTGTAAGGGAGCCTGGGTTAGAATCCTAGGCCTCATACTAACTGAGTGCCTGGCCTCTGAGTTTCCTGTCCTCGTGCACAAGTGAGCGCTAATGACATCCACTGCAGAAGGCTGTTGAGAGCATCAGATGAGCTCATCCAAGGGGTAAGAGTGGGAGGTTAGGGTGGAAAAGAAGGTGGTGTAGTGAGCGTGCAGCCCTGAATACCGGCTGGAGAAGGGGCTGGACTTGGCGTTCAGTGGGAGTCTCAGGAAGGCCATTCTAGTGGCAGCGAAGAGGGTGGGTTAAGGGGGCCTGGTCCCCTTCCCTTGGGGCCTGACTCAGCTCCCTGGGCAGGACACCCCCTCGGGGGCATGCTCCGTGCCTGCTGTGACCACCCTACTGCTGATCTTTCCCAGGGGCTGCAGCTGGCCTTCCTGCTGGCGTTCCTGGGTTTGGACCTGGTGCTGGCATTCCTGGATTTGTACCTGGTGCTGGAGTTCCCGGATTTGGGCCTGGTGTTGGAGTTCCTGGATTTGGGCCTGGCGCTGGTGTTCCTGGCTTTGGGGCAGGTGAGGGCCCTTCGAGGCTGAGCAGAAATGACCCCTGAGCTCAGAGGAGTGAGACCTCTCCCCTTCCAGCACAACCCCCAGCACCTAGTAAATTCCCTGGGCTCATAGTAAGTTCCCCACTAGGTTCTCCTGAGCAGGCAGAGATGCCTGGAGTAACTGATGTGGGACAGGCCAGGCAAGGATGTCCTGGGCTGACAGATGTCACAGTTGCTACCTCACCAGGGAAGGGGTTACCGGCCTCCAAACCAGAAAGGGGCCCATCACCCAAGGGAGGAAGCTGGAGGTCCCTGGGCTCCGTGTCTATGGGTGGGCCAGCCTGGCTCCCCTTCAGCAGTGCACTACGGCAGGGGCCACTGGGAGCTTTCAGTTCTTCGCCTGGTGGTTACTGACCCTGCTCTGCATCCATCCTCAGGCAGACCACACCGGACCTGAAGGGGATGGGAGGGGCAGATGGGAGGGGGAGGCACAGCTCAGCCCTCAAGCACCCCCAGAGCAGACTGGCAGAGGCATGGTTAGACACTGGAGGTCTACCTGGCAGGGTGAGCTCCTGGCTGGGAAGCCACAGCTTCAGGGTTTTGAGAGAAGCAAAGAAGGCCAGGGAAGGCAAGGAGGGCTTTCAGGGGGAAGCAGAACCCTTAAGCACAGAGCTTAGCTACTGACCACCCCACGTTTCCCTCTCCCTTTCTCTATAGTACCTGGATCTCTGGCTGCCGCTAAAGCAGCCAAATACGGTGAGTACTCCCCACACTGGCCACCATGGTTGGTTCCACTGCCCCCCCATCATCCCTGGCAGCACCTGGTCACCCATCTCCCCTCCCACCGGCCCAGGGCCCCATGTCTGGAGCCTGCAGCACAGGGCTGGGATGGTCAGGATGGAAAAAGGCAGTTTCTAGGACACATCCAGGACAGCTTAGCAGACCTGGCTCCTGCCTCCCAAATGCCTATTGAGCCTCCAGCCCTGGGACAACCAAACACGCCCCTCACATTTTCAACCTTCCTGGAGGCAGTTCTACCTTGGAGAAGACCGTGGTCCCTAAGGCACCTCTGGTCATCACAGTTTCACGGGCCTCAGGGCCACAGAGGGGCCAGGGCTGCTGCCAGCTAGCGGCTTCTGCCTCCTAGCCAGCAAAGGCCCCGGTCCCCCACCCACCTCCCTGTCAGCATGACTGCGCCTGCCACGAGCCACGAGGACGTGGCAGACATGCCTGCCCCTCCACTTGGCGCGCAGCAGCCCTGGCTGGCCAGACCTACACTGTCTGTGGCCCCTGAATTCCTGGCCTCCTGGGAGCCAGGCCAGGGCCTCTGCTAGGGAAACACCAACCAGCCCCCGGCCAGTCCACTTGGGGCCAGTTTCCACCTCGGAAAATCCCGGCTTCCTCAGCCCCCACCCCTGGCAGGCCTGGTGACCCACAGGCCCTTCTCCTGTTCCTTGCTGGCTGCTCTGTCAGCCTGAGTCTAGCAGACATTGCCAGGGAAACAAAGCAGTTAAGGGCACAGGCTCCAGAGCCATTTCCTGCCTGTGGGACCTTGAGCATATTGCTTAACCTCTGCTGTGCTTCAGTTTTCTCACCTGCAAAATGGGGATGACATTAGTACCCACCTTTCCTGTTGCAATGAATAATAAGCATGCTAACTGTGAGAAGCATTGAGAACTGTGGAATTCCTATTGCTGCTATTCCCAGCAACTCTGCTCGGGACAGTGCTTCAAAACTCAGAGTATGTTTACAGATGTCGCCCTCTTTTCCTCTCCAAACACCTGCAGGGTGAGTGGGCTAAGGATCCTCACCTGCTCTAGGGAGGCGCAGCTCTGGAGCCTAGAGAGGTGATAGCTCTAATGAGTAGAAAAGTCAGGATTTGAACTCAGGGCTGTCAGAGCCTGAGACTAGTCTTCTTCCCTCGGCAGGCTGCGTGTGGCTATCACTTGTGACCACCTGCGGCTCTAGTGCTAGCCCAGGGGGGTGGAGAAAACAATGGGTGGGCTGAGGCTCCAGGGAGCCTCTTGCCTGATTGGTCACAGACACGGGCCCAGGTGTCTGGGAATGGCCTTCTGTCCAGTGCTCCTTCCACTGGTCACATGACCTCAACCACTTGTCTGCTTGACTGCTAATGTCCCTGGGTCAGGAAGACTCTGTCCTTCAGAAATGAGGGGATTGACCCTCTACCTCCTCTCCTCAGGAGCAGGAGTACCTGGGGCGCTGGGAGTGCCTGGAGGCCTTGGAGTGCCTGGAGGCCTTGGAGTGCCTGGGGCGCTCGGTGGAGTAGGGGTCCCAGGTGGTGTGCCGGGTGAGTCGAAACCCCAGGGCGCGCTGGGCAGGGAGGGAGACTGATCCATGGAGCATGGCTTTCTGAGCTCCCTCTGTGTCCCCAGGAGCTGGACCTGCTGCCGTGGCTGCTGCCACCAAGGCTGCTGCCAAAGCTGCCCAATTTGGTGAGCACTGTGTGGAGGTGGGCGCTGCCACCAGGTCCCAGGGTTTGGGGAGCCTCAGACTGACCGTGCACCGTGCAGCACTATTCCCTGACCTGCCCCTAAAGCCCTCAGGGGCATCGTCTCCCTAAGGCCCAGCCCACCTCCTGGCCCCCTGGTGCCCACAAAGGCCCTGGAAGCTCAGGCTCCACCTGGGTCCCGGGATGAAAAGTCCAGCTCTCCACAGATGATCAGCAGGGGCCCACTGGGCGGGTTTAACACACAGCTCTCTCCACAGGCCTCGCAGGAGCTGGTGGGCTCGGACCTGGTGGGCTTGGAGCCGGAGGACTGGGACTTGGAGGGCTTGGGCCTGGTGGAGTTGTCCCAGGGGTTGGGGGCCTTGGAGGTAAGGGGCTGTTCAGAAATCAGTGAGTTTATGCTGTGTGCGTGTGTGTGTGTGTGTGTGTGTGTGAGAGAGAGAGAGAGACAGACAGACAGACAGAGAGACTTTCCTTCCCACCTTGCCACACTTTGCTCCAGTTGTCTCCTCTGCCCCCGCCCCATCCCCACTTCACCCACCACTCAAGCGTGTGGTGGGCCGGCCCCATTCCTGGGCTCCCACAGCACTCAGAGGGGTCCTTGAGCAAGCAGAGGCCAGGCAGCTTCTTGCAGCTGGGATCCCACCTTCTCCCTCTCCTCTTTCCTTCAACTCGCATGACTGCTTCCAGTGGGAGTTCATTAGGATAATGGTGGCCTTGCCTATTTGCTAGAGAAGAAAACCAGAGCGTGGAGGGAGTCACTTGTCCAAAGCCTCCGCTGTCCTGGCGGGCCTTGTGCTGACATTTCACTCTTCCTTGGGGCATCATTGCATCTCCCTACACAAACCCGCCTGAAGTCTCTTCCTGTGTGCACCATGAGACTGGACACACAGGAGGGACTTAATAAAGACTTTCGGAAAGATGGATGAAGGAGGGGTGGAAGGACAAGTCTGTGGGCTGAGGGTAAAATGGGGACAGAACAGAAGAGGGACAGGACTGGGAGGGAAGGCGTATTCCTGAGCCCTCATGTGCCCCATCTCCCCAGGTGTGTCCCCAGCTGCAGCTGCTAAAGCAGCCAAATATGGTGAGTCGCCCCCTGCTGCCCTCCTCCTGCCCAGGCCTGAAGGCCACTAATACTCCCCATCCTGACCACCCCATCTCACCAACCTCAGGCCTCCATCCTGCTTGAAGCCCCCATGACAGCCTGTCCAGGATTCTCTTGACCCCAGAACCCGAAGAGGGTGCTCAGGGCCCCTTAGACTGTGCCTTGTCCCAAACCCCCTCTGCCCTCTTCTCAGGTGCTGCTGGCCTTGGAGGAGTCCTAGGAGCTGCCAGGCCATTCCCAGGTGCAGGTAGGGACCATCTCTGCTGTGAAATCATCAGCTCTGCCCGGGTCCAGAGAAGGCCTGTTGCACCGGCAGGGGAAATCCTAGAGCTGCAGCTAGCAAAAGGACATGAGCAAGAGGGTAGAGGGGGCAGTCACAGAGTGGAAACATCCCAGGGAAAGCAGTCAGGGCTGCCCCATGGGCCTCGGGCAGGGCCCCAAACCAGGGTGCCAGGCAGGGACAAGGTTTGTGGAGAAAGCCACTCTGGCTATGGAGGATGGGGAGGAGGTGGTGCTGGGCAGAGAGGAAGACAGGACAAGGCCAGAGCTGGGGCCTGCCCCATGCTAACCACAAGTTCCTCCTGCAGGAGCAAGACCTGGCTTCGGAGTATCCCCTATTTTCCCAGGTATGCCCTCGCTTCCTGCCCCGGGCCCTGTGCTACAGCTCTGGCTCCATCCTTCTCCTCCCCTGCTTCATCTCTTGCTCAGGAGGCCTGAGCTAAGCCCCAGGACAAACCCCATAACCTCAGTTACTCCGGGCTAGTCTCCCCCTGACTCTTTCCTTCCTCCCTTGCAAGGCCAGGGAGCATCAGCTTTTCTAGAACACCATGTTCCAAATGGGCTAAACTGAGGTCCATAGAGCACCAGGGACTCGCCTGAGGTCACGCAGTGACTGAGACAGAGCCAGGGCTCTGAGCACCTAAGCCCAGAGTGTGGCCCCCTCAGGCAAGGCCCATGCTGCCAGGAGGGCTCACAGGCTAGGCCTGGCAGGGAGCGGGGAGATTGGAGGAGCTGGACACCTCACCCATTCCTTCTTCTGCCTCCGACACAGATGATCAGATCTGGGAGTAGGCCCAGGGCCCTTCATGCTCACCCGGGCTGGGCCAGGCCTAGCATTCCCCAGCTCCCTGCTGCCACACACGCCCTGCAGAAAGGAGCCAAGGGAAAGAGAAGGGAGGAGGAGGAGGGAAGAGCTCAAAGGAGCAGAGACAGAGAAAGAATGGATGAGACAAGGGGAGCCCTAGATTAGGGGATCTGAAGGGTGGTAGGGGGACCCAGGCTGCCCAGGCTGGCAGAGGAGGCAGAGGCCACTACCTGGCACTGAGCCACACCTTTGCTCAAAAATGCACATGTGCCTCTGGAAGTGTGTGGCTGGGTCCTGATCACCACCTCCCTCCCGAGTTCCAGGAACACCTGAAGGAGACCCAAAAAAGCCCCAGCTCCACCCCTTGCGGTAGCGCCGACTATGGATTCCCTTCCACCCCCACCTGCTTCCTGCTACACAGATGAGGCAGCCGAGGCAAGGCCAGGGCTGGGAGAGCAGAGGCAAGAGCAGCCTGACCCTTCCCGGGTGCCCAGTGATGCCTGTGGCCCTACCCCACTGCTTTTCCAAACAGCCGGGTTGAGCCTCACAGAGATGCCCGTGCCTGCCCCACTTGGCTCCTCACTGCCACCAGGTGGCGGTAACAAGCCATGCCTATCTCCCAAAGGGATAGGAACTACTCAGGAGCCCTACTACCAGACAGTGTTGCCTTGATTAGAAACAAGGTTTACCAATCAGACCCTCCCAAGGAGAGGGCTGGAGTTCTGGGTTCCCATCCCAGGTCAGCCACTGACTGTGGATGAGTAAGACTCTCTCCCTCTCTTGCAAGGGCCTCTGTTCACTTGTCTGAGGCACCCGCACGTTTCTCTACCACACCGTTTCCCTTGAGGGGGGCTGCCCTGAGTCACTCGCTAAAGGCTTCCCAGATGCGTTGAACTCATGAGTATGGGGAGCTTGTCCAGGCCCATTCCTTCCGGGACCTGGCCCCTGGCCCCCTGGCCTTTTCCCTTCTCTGCGCCTTGGTTTCATCAACCACATCTTGAGCCCTGGTCCCGCCCACCTGTCTGGTGGGAGTTTGTACAATGAGTGTGGTGCAGTCCAGGCTTCTGGTGGCTTCTTGGAGCCCCTGTTCCCCGCTGCGATGATGTTGGTCAGCGGGCAGTGGCTTGAGCAGCAAGGAGGAGGGGCTGGACTAAGTGTCGCGTATGCCTCCCCCACCCAGGTGGGGCCTGCCTGGGGAAATCCTGTGGCCGGAAGAGAAAGTGAGCTTCCCAGGACCCCTGACTCACGACCTCATCAACGTTGGTGCTACTGCTTGGTGGAGAATGTAAACCCTTGTGACCCACCCCCCCACGCCCCCTCCTAAGTCCCCACCTCTGGAGGGGACAGGGCTGGCCGGGCGGACTTGGAAATCCACAGGACAAGGAAACAAGAGAACAGTGGCCAAGTGGGCCCCGGGAAGCCCCCTACTTCAGAGGCAAAGAGTGGGTGGGCTTGGCCCCCTGCCCCCACCCCCTTCCCACCAAGGTGCTCCCTCCATACACTCTGCACCTCCAGGGGAACTTGGTGCTAAGTGCTGGTGCTTCATCTTCCTGGGGGAGGGAGGAGGGAAGGGCAGCCCCCCGGGGAAGCCTCCTCCCTAGGGCTCCCCTGAAAATGGTGCAGACACTCTGTGGGCAGTCCTACCTCCCCCTGCCCACCAGGACCCACCCCTGGCTGCGGTCCAGTTGGTACCCAATCATCGAAAAACCTCAGGATGCATTCGGTCACACCATCTCTTGGCCCCTTTAATGCCCCTTCCCCCCACCAGTCGCTATTCCCCATGCCCCAGGCACCTTCAGATCAGAAGAACCCCGAAACAAATAGCCCTCTTTCTCTTGTGGAATTCATCCGCCCATCTGTCCATCCATCCATCCATCCATCCATCCTTGTCCCCATTTAACTGCCTGGCACCACAAGCTGGCCGGGCACCCCACCATCTACCCGGTTAACCTGTCATGGCAGCCTGTGCCCTGCCTTCGCCCCACTCCACACACCCCTACGAAGGGGCCCGGGGTGTGGGGGCTGTGCCAGCTGGGGCGCAGGAACCCCCTCGCAAACCTGGGTTTCCCCCACGCAGTACTGTATCCCCCGTCCCTCCCTCGAGCCACTGTACTTCACAGCACTTCCCGCCCCGCCCCGCCCCGCCCATCTCTTTGTGTCTGGCTGTGATAGATCAATAAATATTTTATTTTTTGTCCTGGATATTTGGGGATTATTTTTGATTGTTGATGTTTTCTCTTGGTTTTACTTTTGTGGTTAATTGAAAAAATATATATATATATTTTTTTTTTCTGATCTGGGGAGCTATAACCCCAGAAGAAAATTCATTTTAATCACTTTGGTATAACTCTGGATGAAACACACATTTTTTTTAAATAAGAAAAGAGAATTAACTGCTTCAAAAAAGACTAATAAATGAAAACATTTTAAAGGAAACTGCGTCTTGGCCTCCTTTGTAAGTAAGCCCTCGTCTGCTGGCAGCTCCTGCCCCAGGCAAGGAAACAGGGCTTGCTTGGCCTTGGGGAACCTCCACTGTTCAAGGTGTATTTGGAGGGCTGCTTACCAGAGTCCCCTGCCATTGGCTTCTGGTGCATGGTCCTTCTCCAAGTTCAGGCTGTCCTTTAACAATTAAGCCTAAGCCTCTCTGTAGGGGAAGCTAGGCCAGCCAGCCCCACACACACCTGCCCACAGCGGGTGTCCTCCGGAGGGGGACTCACCTGCCCAGCCACACCTTTCCCAGCCCTTGCCCCACAAGACTGAAATGAACACAGGGCCTGGTGGGGGGCTACCGAGCACTAAGGGTGTGGCTGGAGGGGTGGAGTGAACAAAAGGGACCCTTCTATCCAGACCAGACCCTTGGCCTTGGTGAACAGCGACACGGAGAGGAGAAGATGGTCCTGCCTAAGAAAACTAGAAGGCATGTTTTCCTCTGAAGCATCCACTCTCAAGCACAGCCATGCAGGGAACCACTGCACTGCTTTATAAAACAGAACAAATGTCATCCTGTAGGCTGCACTGGGAGACCCAGTGCCACTCTTGGGTGTACCCATCCCCAGGGACATCCCCCTCCCTTTGGGGCCAGAAATCCATGGGGCCTGAGGACATGCCTGCAACTCTCTCCTAGACTATTCTGGACACCAGATTCTGGAATTCCTTCCCCAAACCACCAAATTCACTTCCAGGAACCACATGGTCTCATGCCACCTGTGGCCTCCTGAGGGCGGACCCCGTGTCCAGTGACACACTCCTCAGCCGGAAGGGTGGCACAGGACCTGTTTGTCGGCAGTGTGGGTGGAGTCGGCAGACTGAACTATCTTGTATTTGTTCACAGGGCCCACCGGAGTGCCAGAGGGAGTTGGGTTGAGAAGAGAAAAGGGATGGGATGATGCTCAGAGGTAGCTTCCTAGAGAGTAATAGAGCACAAAGAGCAATTTGTCACACAAAGAATAAAGCAGGAGGAGGGTCGTGCCTTTGGGGCAGGGAGAGCAGCCTGTGTGAAGGCCTAGAGGGCAGGACAGTAAGAATGCCCCAGTGGCATCAGAAAGATGGAGGAAGGATCCGAAGTTGGTAGGGGGTGGGTTCATAAAGACCCATGAGGGGCTGCTGTGATAATCCGTGAGAAGGGACAACTTGATTGAATAGTAGCAAAGGAGATCCATTCAATCATTTATTCATTTGTTTACTTCTTCAACAAAAATATCCCTTTCTGATCCCTCTTAAGTTCTCTGGCCTCCAAAATTTGGCCAACCCCAGGTGGGGGCATCCCTGCTTTGGTTTCTTATGATTCATGGCTTTAAATACTATCTATGAACTGGCGACTCCCAAACTGACACCTCAAGGCATAGACCTCTACCCTGAGCTGCACACTTCTTAACATTTCTTAACATCTCTACGTGGAAGTCTCATCCCTGCATAGCACGGTCCCCATGCCCACCCCCAGCCCCAGCCTTCCTCAGCTCAGTAAATGAGCAGCCGGATCAGGCTGGCAGCTTGGAGCCATCGAGTCCTCTCGTCCCACTCCCCATAGCAGACTGACCAGCTAATCCTGTGGTGAATCTACTTTCAGTAGACACCCACAGTCTAGCCACTTCTCACAACCTCCAAGGGTCATGCTCTGGTCCGCCATCAGCTAGTGCCTGAATTACTGACAGCTTCCTAAGTGGGCTCCCTGATTCATCCCTGGCTCTCCAAGAGGCCTTCTCTCCACAGAGTAGCCAAAACAATCCTCCCAAAAGTTAAGTCAGTTCAGGTCATGCATCTGCTCAAAATCCTGCAGTGGCTCTCATCTCGCTTTCAGGCGCAAAGCCAGCAGTCTTTCCATGGCTAGAAGCCCCTACCTGAGTTGCACCAGCTGCCCTGACTTCACATCCTGCTTCTCAGCCCTCCAGCAGGCCACGTGGTTACATGGACCCTATTGTTCATTCTGTAGGCAGCAGGCCCCCCACTGCAAGCTGCCACATCTGCTGTCTCTCCTGCCAGGAGTCTCTCCTCAGCTATCAACATGCTTGGCTCCCTCATTTCCTTCAGGTCTTAACTCAAACGTCACCCTCTCAGAAGGTCCTTCCCTATCCTCTTTCTAAAACAGCAAAGTGCACCCTTCCCTGTGCAGCAGCCTCTCACACGCCCCTGCCTTTTTTTCTCCAGAGCACCTAAGTGACAAAGCGGACTTCCTTCTTTTTTTATCATCTGACCCTCCATACCAAAATGTAAACTCCCTGAGGATAGACACAGCTTTAAGAACAAAATAGATAAACTCCCTGCTTTCATTAGTTATACACTCTGGTAGAGAGATAATGTGCTGATAATAGCCGCAAAGATATCCAATTTCGAATCCCTGGAGCCTTATAAATATTACTGTATTCATCTGCTTGAGCTGCCACAACAAAGGACCACAGACTGGGTGGTTTTAACAACAGAAATTTATTTCCTCACAGTCCGATATCAAGATGTTGGCAGAGTTGGTTCCTTCTGAGACATCTCTCCTTGGCTTGCAGACGGCCATCTTCTCCCCATGTCCTCAAATGGTCTTCCCTCAGTACATTTCTGTCCTAAACTCTTCTTGTAAGGACATCGGTTTTATTGGACTAGGTTCCGCCCTAGTGACCTTATTTTAACCTATTGCCTCTTTAAAGACTTTAACAACAAACACGGCCACATTCTGAGGTACTGGGGTTAGGACTTCAACATATGAATTTGGGGGGAACACAATTCAGCCCATATGTGATTAAGTTAAGAATCTTGAGCTGGGGGAGATGATTCTGTATTGTCAGGGCGGGCCCTAAATGCAATCACATACATTCTCACAAGAAGCTGAAAGAGCTGTATGCCAACGAGCTGGATAACCTACAAGAAATGGATTAATTCCTAAAAACATACAACCTACCAAGAATGAGTTGTGAAGAAATCGACCATTAAAATTAAGGAGATTGAATCAGTAATTTAAAAAAAAAAGTCCCAATAAAAAGCCAGGACCAGATATCTTCCCTGGTGAATTCTACCAAACATTTAAAGAAGAATTAACACCAGTTCTCCTGAAACTCTTCCAAAAATCAAAGAGGAAAGAACACTCACAAGTTCATTCTAACAGGCCAGCATTATCCTGATACCAAAGCCAGACAAAGACACCACAGGAAGAAAAACCTACAGAGAAGTGACGTCAGGAAGATGGCAGAATAGGAGGTCTTCAGCCCACATTCCCTTACAGACACGATTCTAAAATTCATATGGAACCACAAAAGACCCCAAACAGCCAAGGTAATCTTGAGCAGAAAGAACAAAGCTGGAGGCAACACACCTCCTGATTCCAAATAGACCAGTGGAACAGAATAGAGAGTGCAAGAATAAATTCACACGTTTACGATCAACTAATCTTTGATGAGGGTACCAAAAACGCACAATGAGGTAAAGACAGTCTCTACAGTAACAGGTGTTGGAAAAATTGGATATTGGATATTCAGATGCAGAAGAATGAAATTGGACACTGACCTCATACCATACACAAAAGTCAACTCAAAATAGATGAAAGACAAATAGAAGACCTGAAACTATAAAACTACTAGAAGAAAATACAGGGAAGAGCTTCTTGGTATTGGTCATAGCAATGATTTGATTTTAATATGACCTGAGAAGCACAGACAATAAAAGCAAAAATAGACAAGTGGGATTGCATCAAACTAAAAAGCTTCCGTTCAACAAAGGAAACAATCAACACAATGAAGAAACAATCTATGAAATAGGAGAAAATATTTCCAATCCATACATTTGATATAGGCTAATATCTAATACATACAAGGAACTCATATATATATATCCTGATTTAAAACAGGCAAAGAACCCTGAATAGACATTTCTCAAAGAAGACATATAAATGCCCAAGAGTTATATGAAATGGAGCTCACATTACCAATCACCAAGAAATGCAAATGCATGCCCTGGATGGTGTGGCTCAGTGGATTGAGTGCCAACCTGTGAACCAAGGGGTCCCCGGTTCATTTCCCAGTCAGGGCACATGCCTGGGTTGCAGGCCAGATCCTCGGTGGGTGGCGGGGCATGAGAGACAGCCACATATTGATGTTTCTCTCCCTCTCTTTCTCCCTCCCTTCCCCTCTGTCTAAAAATAAATAAAATATTTTTTTAAAAAGAGAAATGCAAATGCAAATCAAAACCACAGTGAGATATTATCTCACACCTGTTAGAATGGCTATTATAAAAAAAAAGGTAACAAATGTTGGAGAGGATGTGGAGAAGAGGGAACCCTTGGACACTGGTGGTGGGAATGTAAATTGGAACAGCCACTATGAAAAATGGTGTGGAGATTCTTCAAAAAATTAAAAATTAACTCCATGTAATCCAACAATCCCACTTTGGGGTATGCACTTCCATGTTTACTGCAGCATTATTTACTACAGCTAAGATATGGAAACAACTTAAGCATGCATCAACAGACGAATGGATAAAGGAAACATGTTGTATGCATACAATTATAATAGAATATTATTTAGCCTTAAAAAGGAAGAAACTCCTTCCATTTGCAATAACATGGATGAACCCAGAGAACATTATGCTAAGTAAAATAAGCCAGACACAGAAAGACAAATACTGCATGATATCACTTTTATGTGGCATCTAAAAAAGTCCAAGTCATAGAAGCAAAGAGTAAAATGGGGCTGTTCAGGGGCTAGGGAGCAGGGGAAATAAGGAGCTGTTGGTCAACGGGGCACAGAGTTTCAGTTATGAAGGATGAATAAGTTCTGGAGATCTAACGTACAGCATGATGATTATAGTTAAGGATACTGTATTGTATACTTAAAATTTTCTGAGAGTGGACCTTAAGTGTCCTCGTCACAAAAAAAAAAAAGCAACTACATCAGGTGATGGAAATGTTAATTAGCTTGATTGTGGAAATCACTTCCCAATGTATAGGTATATTAGAAACA